AAATATAGTATAGTATACTTTCGTTACGATGCAACGTGTTCACGCGGATAGTTAATGGACGGAACAATGCAATATTCCCTGTAACGATGCATCCCTCTAATACGCCGACGTTACGGGTAATACGTTTTAATTTTATATCGCGTCACGTGTGGAATTAGATTCACCGGCGACAAACCTTTTTTGCGCGAAAAAACGTAGCCAACTCGCGTAAGATCACCGTGGGAAACTATTCCTAATAAGTCACGTTTACAGCGTTAAAACTAATCGTCGTTACCGTTGTTTTCGTATGTAATTTTATGATCGGTTTATGAAAGAAAAGTGTTTCCATCGGTCTGTGCTCGAACTGGCTCGGGAGGCGGCGCGTAATTAGAAACTGCGAAACGAAATTCAATCCAAGATGAAAGAAAATAATCCGTCGGGTTTGCTCGTGGTTCTCGTAACGTCCCGTCCGTCGAAGGTTCGCGCAACTTTCTCTTCTGTCCGCTCGGGACACCTTGTAGAAAGCAACGGCTGTATCGGCGTGGTACACGGCAGGTATATCGAAGCCCGAGACCTTTGTCGGTCGGGCTAACCAGAAGGAGGGACCCCGTAGGGAAGCCCGAGACAAAGGGACGAACAGGGTCCGAAGAAATGAGCAGGGGAGACGCGGAGAGGAGAGCAAAATGACCCAGATGCTCCGAAGCCCATACATTTTGCTTGCGTTCAGCAAAACCAGCTACAAGAGGAACCAATTGGTAAGCAAGTTTCTTCAAAGACTACGCCACTCTTTCCGCCATTTCCTTAAAAGACTCTTTCGTCCAGTCAACGCGGAAAGGTTTCTCGATTCGAAATCCACCCTTTTTAACCCCTTAACGCTCATATTTTTCATGTTAACCAACAATGATCAGTTTTCTTTATTGGATTTGTTTATAAAAAAAATGGTTCTTTTTAATTGCAATGTTGTATCTAACGTATAATTTAAAGAAAAACAAATATTATCATCCCTTGAACCGTTGGATTAAACAAATATTGTTTTTCAAAGCAGTCAGACTCGGGCATGAACGTTAAGGGGTTAATTAAAATTGGTTTTAGAGGTTTCAAAGAGCCATCGTCTTATAGAGAAGCACATTTTTTTTTTTAAATGAGATTAAAAAATTAGCCAAAAATGATTACTTTTCAGACCATTGTGCAACGGAGTGAAGCTACTTATTATACTACATGTTTTGTAGCAATATTACCATTGGCACGAAGAAGTTGGAGGGGCAAAGGCGAGCCCGACGGGTGAAGCACGTGATGTCTGGGTTCTTGGCGTCCTTCCCTACCGAGCTGAAACGCACACGTAGACTCGAGATCGAGAGGAAGAACCGGAGGGAAGAGACCTGACGAGGGAACTTCACTGATGCGAAAATTCTGTTTCTTTTTACAAAGCCCTAGGAGAAGTGGGAGAGATGGCTGCACGCCCTGGGTCTCTTAAAGGGCAGGACACTTTGACGTGGTCTAAAATAAAACGTGTTATAAATAACCTCAGAAACGAAAATAAACATTTGCCCGACACGAGCTTCTGTGTTTCGATTTACAATAATACGAGCTATAGAAAACAGCGGTAATTTTTCCTACTAAAAAGACTGGACTTGCTTTGAAATATGAATAAAAAACATAAAAAAAATATCTTTGTTTTTGTTGACCTTCAGATTCTTGTCACTTCCTGCGTGTCCCGATAGTTTTGTGATTCGTTGTGAAAAATCTGCTATGCGCGAAGATAAAAATGTAAATATATGTTTCTCACAGCCCACGGAAAGAAAAGAGGAGCAACAGACACGAAGAGATACGCGTAACCTCGAAATAATGCTAAGGATTCATGGAAATGAATGCAATCCACCTTCAATGTTTTTCGATATAGTATCCGTGATCCTTGACTCAATGAAAGCGACCCACGATCGCAGCCATTGCTCAATATCTCGTACCAGCGTGTGTATAATTATTTAAAAAAAAAAATCAGCAACAAATCGAACTCGCGAGTAACGATATTATCGTCGACGCGCTTCTGGAAACGAAGGAAGTGACCAATTAAATTTATTACAGGAACCGGATGTGCAAACTGCAGTTGCTATAAACCATTAAAATTAAGGTTAAAGTAATAACGATAACACTGCATCAATGAGTCACCTGGCTTAAGTAATCATCGTTTACTGCTATTAATTATAGTTACGCTAGAAGAAATACACAAAGGAATAATTTTTTTTTGTCATCTCTGTCCACAAGACGTTTGAAACACATTTGAATACTATTATTAATTAAAGAACCTCGAAGTAAGTAATTGAAAAGTCTTGAGAGGAGTATTTGAAAACAATCGCATACGGCACAAAAGCACGATTATGCGTGCGAAACAACCCCCACCCTCGCAAAGAGTGTAGGCCCGATCCAAGTTTCGTTAAAAGGCGCATGAAGAGAAGAGCGGTTTATTTTTATTTTTGTCTGGCGAACGTTAAATGAAAATGGGTCGAGGCGTCTGTGCTCATTTGCACTCCTTCTTTTGCTTCTTTGTCAATGCGATGTCGCTACGAAAGGCACGATATTTATCCGTGCATATACATAGCTCTAGGTGCTGCCAAAGAACATCATAAATAAATATATTTAATTCGTTATCTATTATTCAAACAACATTTTTGCCCGCCCCTGCTGTCGAGCACCAATATAATAAATAAATAAAAATATCATTCCGCTAATTTCTATTTGTATCGTCCGGTAGTTTAATTATTGACCATCGATAGCGTCTCTTCGCGCCTCGTCTTATTCTATTTTCGTTTCCGTTGTTTCTTTTCTCGCCGGCAGTCGCGCGCAATTATCCACGTGCGCCGTTCGCCGTGTGACCAATTAATAAAGAAAGTGTTCCCGATACTTTTCGTAACGAGCAAGAAGTCCGCGAAAGCAAAAAAGAACAAGTTTCCCGAGATGCATCGTATTTGGAGATCGGACTCGTTAATATTCGCAACGTAGCGAAGGGGAACCGAGTCGCGAGACGCTTCTTAGTGGGCCAGGGCTCCGCAAAATTCGTTGGCCTTCGTCGGTCGAGTGTCAAGAAAGAAGGGACAGAACCGAAGACGGAGGCAAGCGAGGCCAAATACAAGGAAAAAGACAAGAAAAAAAAAAAGAAAAAGAAAGAGAGAAAACGGGAGTGGAGGACCAGCGGCGAAGAAAGGGACGGAGCGAGAGAGAACAAAAGGGACGGAAGATCTCCTTAAGAGAAATGCGTGGGAATTGAACCATGTGGCCCGAGGACTGGTTCGCGAAATATCGCATTGCGAAAGTACGCGCATACCCGTTAACGACCATCCAACTGCGCGATGAATCGTGCACGTGAACGACTGGATCCCGACTGTAGTAAGCGTTGCATGCACGTTTGTTTTCACCGAGCACAAAGGTTCGATTAAATTTTCGACAAATTATCCCTCGTATGCGTTGACCCAGAGTACGCGACAAGATGTGGCATAGAGCCTTGAGAAAAATGGGTCTCCAAAGATGTTCACCGGGTAACTTCAATGAAATAATAACAGTAATCAGCTGATGTTCGCAGCAGCGTCGGAGGATCAAACCGAATAAGGGCAAACTAAAGCGGTCAGTGCCGCACGGTTGGGCTACGGCGAGACAAATGATTAAAGCACCGACATGACTAGGCATACGTGGTCGATCGTTGGCGGGTCTAGTTTAACGCCGTGGGATCGGACGTCGACTTTCACATGCTAAAATTAGTCGAACAACGCCGCGCGACAATTCGTAAAAGCCGCCGCCATCGGCGTTGCGTAATATTTCTGGTACGTTCGCGCGTGTACGATTGAGCTTCATTGGCGAATTCACCTTGCCAAAGAGAAACAGGTTACCGTTTCCGGTCCACGGGTTAACCTTAGTAGGAGCGATATCCTGTTAAGGACGCGTCGCTTGCCCGCTAACATCACCGTACGCTGTGAAAACGTGCAACCATGAAATAATTCATTCGATCCGTAAACTGTTCCGTAACGTTTAACGAGATCGGTATAATTCTACGATAGGCAAAAATCGAGACCGAGTTTTTCCTTTGGAAACGATAGGAAAACCGGGGGAAAACTTCTTTTCCCGATTTGCATACATGAATAACTTCGTCGAACGTCGTACATTTTGATAAGTAACGAAGACAGAATGTTTCGGTTTGGAAAAATCCATTAATCGATATCGATCGTCGTGCAAAAAGTGCGGCATAAGAATAACTTTTTGTACGCACAGCACATTTTGCACTCGTTTCGTGTGATACATCTTGGAATTTTAGATCGATGGTTTCGCGCGATCGAGGAGAAAAGTGTTGCACGAAAATAATATACAAATTAATCGCAAATTAGAATTATATTACATTCTACGAGACAACATTCTTCTTTTTCTCTACGTGCAAATGATTACTAAACGGATACTGTTTGTATCCGTTGACCAAATTAATCCTTTGAATCGGGTGTTTAAGAAATGATCGGTACACCGAATTCGAAGGATCAATCGAATGACGTGATGATGGATGCGAGAAGGAGAATGGTAATCAAGCTCGTGTATTTAATTCTTCCTCCAGGCACAGGTAATTTATTGGAGGAAGCGCTACAGATGCATCGCTTTTCGCCAAGAAGCGTCTAAAAGCTCATACGTAGAATAATACGTATGTATTTCGAACGAAGTTTAAGAAAAAGTTCCGTGTTCCTTCATGGTACAAAATAAAAACCCTAATTGTGTTCCCAATGGTTCGTCATACATCATAGAGTTCCATTTCGATGAATGTTTCTTGTCAGAGGAACATGTCTACGTTTCATGCCAAAAACGTTTCGCTCGCGTAACTTCAAATTTCAAGCACGGATGACTAGATTCGTATGTACAGGTGATTCCGTAAATAAATAGTAGATCGTCCCCATAAGTTCGCGCGGAGACGATAAAGAAAGGGTCAAATATCACCCTTTGGTATGAAATTAGAGGACGACCTAATAGTTACGGTTTGCTCGGATAGAACTTACCTTGGACAGTTTCTCGCCTTCGTGATGGGGCAGCAACGTCCTAAGCGACTGGAAACCGGCGTTAATACTTTGCATCCGACGTCGTTCGTTACTGTTGGCGATTTCTCGCCGCATTCTCTTCTCTTGCTCCATGTGGCTTCGCGGCGTAACGCAAGCAACGTTGCTGGTACTGTTCCCGTTGCTCAGAGCAACGTTCTGATCAGCAACACGGCGAGATATTGCGCCGTTGGTCTTCGATTGCGGTTGCTGTTGCTCTTGCGAATCAGCAACCTCGGCGACCGTCACGCTCGTGGTCACCGAGCTCTCCTCTACGTTTCCGATGATTCTGCAACAGAAATTAATACATTGTAGCACCTGTAAAAATATTATCTTTCAGTATTTCTCGACAATATTCGTCAAATTTTGTCTATAAAGAACTTAAACATTACCCTTATAATGTGGTTTGAATATAAATTTTAAAAAATATTGTATCATCGTCTGTCTGGGTATTGTACAATTCAGGGGCAGAAAAACTCCCGAATTCTATAGCGATATAGTTACTTGGCCTTAGTAAAATTTAGAAAACCTTTCACCCTTGCTACTCAATAGCGTTTGACCTGTCGTAAATTCACAAAACTACGGGTTTCCAGGTGTTCCGAAATAACAACGCGTGCAGAGAATTTCTGCTTTGCATACCTGCAGGTATGCCCCATTGACCAGACCATACGCAAACACGGACAATCGTCCCCAAAAATCCCTATTGGTGTTCTCACGCCCATGGTACTACCTGCTCAAGGAACACCTTTACATGGAGAAATTGAAACTAGGGTCCAACACGGTTTCTAACTGGATATATGTATTTCGAACTTTGCTGATCGAACTATTGCATTCCGTAAGCGAGCTCATCAAACTACTTGAACTTTAGCGAATTTCCAGTCACTCAACCAGCCCAATCCTCGTATTCCATTTATCTTCAAACTTGACCAAATTTCGAGTGATTGAAAACCCAACGTAGAATCTACCGAACTAATTTTTAATAAAACGAAATAAATATCGCGTCGATTTGAAGCGAGTACCGAAATTATTTTCACTCTCGGGGGAAAAAAAGGAAAACAAAGGGAAGAATATGGACGTGTAATTTTCAATATATTCAAACGCAGGCGGGTCAAGAAATCTGTCATTGGCAGCGCGAATACGGCGGCAGCAATTCATTTGATAGCCGCGCGACAAACGCCGGTTGCAGTCTCTTGAAAAGCATTTTGGCGCGACCGCCGAAGAGATCCCGAAAATCAAAGAGACGAGATGGAAGAGGACACTGACGAGCGCGTATCTCTCTATTCGCGCCCCCATATGACGTCTACCGCGTTTCGTCGGGTTTTGCGGACGGCTCTGAATATTTGATTTACAACCAGATACGAGAGAGTAAAAAACCAACGCGGATGGAAATATAAAAACGTCTGTCTGTCTGGGTCCAAGGGCTTTTAAGGAAATTGAAAGCGTCGAGCTGTTTGTTTCGCGAATCTACCCGGCGTGGCCGCGACTTATCGGCAGTTAAATTCGCGGTCAATGAAGCAGGACGACATTGTTCCGTGGTTACCGTCACAAAGGCTGCACACCGCAATTCCACATAACATTGCCCCGTTTCTCACACCCAACTTCCATATTCGATATTTTTATTCCCATATTTTAGTTAACTAATCTCTAATATTAATCGACGTCAAGCCACGCTTTTTAAATCGTTTCGGTGCGAGAATAAATCCATGGGATCATTCGGCAATAAAAGGAGACGCGAACAATCGAGAAAGATCAGCAATTCCGCAAAGTGGTGTATCATTATGGCGGCGGGCGTAATGAAAGAAAGGCGGGAAACGAGTAGCACTCGCACAGTGGGTAGGAAATATCTGGTAAAATTACACAGAAGAGACAGACGCGGAGGAGACGATAGGGAGAAAGAGAAAAGAGGGGAAAGATCGGGATGGCGGATGTGAGATGAGTCAGCAGGGAAAGACCGTGACCTTGTGCCCTGCTCTCGGAAATATTAGTTCACCGCGTGCCGATAATAGAAACGGAACATGTTCGTGTGTGTGTGTATATAATATACGAGGAAACGCACACATTACGACGACGAGTCCTTACAATTCACTGTTTCCGTTGAATACTAATTTCGATCGACTCACTTTCGCTTATGCAGTCTTTAGGAACCATCCCTCGTTTATGTATTGTATTGTATTAAACGGTCCCAGTTCGACATAGATGTTTCGTTGATCGAATGTTATAAACGTAAGCGTTCGAGTGTACGATAATAACACACGGTACACGCAGCGGAATTTCACATGGCATTCACCCACCGAATGGTTACATTAGATCAGCTGGTAAGCCGACGGTTGGTGCTGTGACGTCAGTTTGTTCGTCGAATACCCGCTGAGCTCGTTCGGATCAGTCCCGTGGAAGTAGGTCGTCTAAGTAGGTGGCTACCTTCCTTTTCATCGCACACCTTATACATATATAGTCGTCATTGAAGGGGGTAAACATAATCTTTACTCACTCGGTTAACGAGCTGACGCTAATTGGTGCAAAAATGTCAGAAACCATCCGCCCACGGAACGTCGCGGTAATCGAGATAAAAATGCGGAGCCACGAAACAAACGATCGTTTATGCAGGTGTTCCAGCGCTCCAAATAAATAATAACGCTTACGATAAAATGTTTGCCAAGTTCTAAACTCCGTCGACTAATAAAAAGAAAGGAATGTTACGAAAAACTACCTGGCAACAAACAACGAATGGGGAATTATTAAAAAAAGATAAAATCAGAACGAGAGGCGCAATATCAAATACGGGCACCACAGTTATTTCCGAGTACGGCCGCACTCGGTCATTGGAGTCATAGGTGGAAAAGCCGTGGGGGCGTGCGAACGTTGTCACGCGGCGTTACGTGCACACGCGAAAAAGCGCGGTTGATACACCGCAGAATCAACACACCCACGCGCCCGCACACACGCACACGTACGCGTTCGAATCTCTCGCCGTGTCCGCGTTCCGTGTGTGTTTGTCGGTGCTACGCTCGCGCGAGCACTGTTCCTGTGTGCTCTCTGTGTATGTGTACGTGTTGGTAAGTGCTGCGCTCGCGACAGAGAGAGAAAGAGAGATGACGCGTTGTGTGTCTCAGCGGCGCGACTCGACGCTCTCGGTCGGCTCGCGTGAGTCACCAACAGCTGATGGCTGGCGCCACTCAGCTGGTTGTTACCGGTGCCTTCGTACGAGTCTCGCTATCTCTGGCTGCTTATCAGCTGCTAGCGACCAAGGAACGACCGGAAAGAACATCTTGTACGGGCTTGTTAAAAAAAAAAAAAATAGAAAAAAAGTCCGCTGAAAAAGAGCGGCGAGCGCGCGAACGAGACCACTCGAAAGTTTCGGGAGGCTTTTCAACCGAAGCTCGGGGGCCGGGATCAATGAAATGTAGTCGAAACGTGCCGGTTGGCTCGTTTCCGTTTTAGCGTCCCGCTCCCGATCGGTGCTTGCGAATGGAAATACACGGTTTGATGTTGCGTCGTACGATCGGAATAGGTCAAGGCTTGCGAAAAGTTGAGTAAATTCACGTTCGAGAGCCTTTAACGCTTTCATTCATCGGCTAAAACGAATCCGCTCCGAGGGATCCTCGACCACTGTTATACGTTACTACCGGGGGCAATTTCGTAATTAAGACGAACGCGGGGAGCAATTAAATACAATACGCACAGGCACACGAAGATACTTATTATCTTAAAAATATGTGTAACAATAGTCCGTAAATCTAGCGTGGATATATAGACATTTCGGACAGTGTAGTGTACGGATAACGTTTAGGTCTCGAAAACGGCACCGGTACGGAAGAAATTGTCTCGAGCCACCCTATATAAGCACCGAAGGCCAAGTTTGGGAAGATCAGGGGAACTGCACGTCGCTCTTCACATGGTCGTGGACGAACATGTATTGGTGCGTTTTTGTACTGTCCTTCCGTTTCCCTGTAGACGTTGGTTTACAGTGGGGTTTGAACACCCTACTCAATCTCGGAAAACCTCTCCCTACGAAGCCTATCTGACGCACAGAGGAGACCTATCTTCTCTAGAGATGTCCTGTACTCGAGAGAAAAAACGAACCTCGAAATATTCGGATCGATTCTAATACTCGAACTACCGCCTCGAATAAATTTCAACAGTCTTACACAATTTTGTTAATAACTTTGTAACGAAACCTCTATCAATAAATTGTTATTCCTGATTTTCGTTTTATTTTGGCCTCTAGAACACCCTGTATACCTAGATCGTTCGATTAATTGATACGAGAATCGATAATTCTTGATAAAAGAATGAATTGAATTTGTTGTTCGTTTAAACGCCACGTTGCTCGGACAATTGAGACCGAAGATTGGCCATTTCGTCCCGATACTTTCGATTGCAGGCCATTACGGTGATGCTCGAGCATCGTGGTTTCGGAAGGAAAAAATGGGAGCGAGTAAGCGTAAAGATCGCTGCCGGCGACAGCTGCTGCAAGGGAATTTTTCTAGAAACGAAGCTGTCCGCGACAGATGTTAGCAGGATCAAGAACAAAACCAGGAAAGAACATACAAGCCACGACCTTTCTTTACTCCGGATTCTTCGCGCGGGGGTAGAATCACGGTGGTGCGAGTTCACCTCAATTTTAACACGATTTTATGGAGCAATTCGTTTAAAACATAGACAAACATACCAGTTATTTCTCAAACGGGCTTGGAATAAATTATACGGCAATTTAAATGAAGAAGCAAGCCAAATTAAAACCAATCGTAGCGAATTGGAATGCCCAGCACGCAGTATACCCGGAATTGAAGATTGCAATTATGACTTTATTCGGTCACGGTTAAAAATAGACGATGATAACCCAGGATACAAAATTAGAGAGAAAGATGAATGTTGTACCATCAATTCTTATTGTAGAAAGTAATAACACCAGCGTGACACCCTAAGCATAAGCTTGATACGACCGCAAAGGGTTAATTCTCTAACATCCACTTGCGTTTCATTCACAAATTATATAATATTAATAGATCATTTAAACTGACACCGAACCGAGCGAAACTAATGAATCTAACATTCCTATTCGTTATTGGTAATTAAAATTTGCCAAAATGTGCAAGCGTGGAGCCAGTTTCAGTGGACAATTGACGAGATCGGGTGAGAGAAGGGACGCGATATAACAAGGAGAGACGGTGGGTGGCCATTTTCGCGGATGTCTTTGGCAGTAAGGATGCCTTGCTGTCGTGTTAGCTCACACAGGATAGAATGAAGAACGAGAATGGGAATGAGATTGGGAACAGCCAGGCATATATTTAGCTGTGTGACGTAAGGCACAGGCCAGCGGGCGCCACGTCGAGTCTACGTGCTTCTTCTCTTTCGTTTTTCTCTTTGCCCTCTTCCTCTGCTTTACTCGAGAGACAGTCAAACTCGTATCTGGAAAATAATATCGAGCTGAATTGATTTTTCCAGATAAAAAAGGTTAAAAGAAATCCTTCGTTGCCCGATCATTTAATTCGTCTACGATAACTTCGCGACTCGCTCTGAATATTAAAAAGAAAATCAGAAGAATCTTGGTAACAAAAATATTCGAGATCCAGGTTACAAGGACGGAAAGGGAAGAACGGATGAGATAAAATATTCGCGGAACAAAAAGCTCTTTGGAGCGGAGAAAAAGTCAAGCAATAATGACCAAAAGGTAAAGGTGTTGCTAGGAAGGTTCCACGAAAATGGCAGAAACGGCACTTTGTCGCATTGTGGATCGTCCAAGTCGCGTTTTCAAAATGCTAGACTGCGATGGCCGAAAGTCAAGGAACAAAAGGAAGCCGGGTGCTGCACGCTATTCTTTTGCTCTTGGCACGGCTGAAATTCCAGGTAGTTGCAACACGAATGGTCTGGCCTTCCTTTGTTAACCATCAACGACCGGCGAAGAAACACGGAAATAGTCTTAAACTGAAAATGCCGCAGGTAGCGTCGATTTTAGCGAGATTTGACAGTCGAGTAAGCTTGTTCCGTAGCTAAGTTAGAAATCTGTCGAGAAATATTATTAGAAATTAGACTTTAAATAATAATAAATACAGAATGTTCTGAGCTATTCAACAACTGCATTTTTCTTAAATTTTGGAAATCGTATATAATTTTTTCTTTGAAGGGGAAAAAAACTTGACGTTCTCGTCGAAAAGGAACTTCATACATTCATGCAACTGTTATCTATCCTTGCGTCGGAGAACCTCCTTGTTAAAATGTAAAATAGATATCCTTATCTTATCCGAAAGTGAAGGCTGATTCCCACTAGCGTTCCAGAAAACCGACGCTCGCACGAGTATTAAAGCACTTTGTCGAAACGTTGTCGAGACTGTTACAACTTGGTAGAAAATAAACCATTCGAACCATTCCGAAAACCTTTTTGAAAGTGAACAAATTTTGTGACCAACTAAAACTATGAATCGCAAGTTGAAGCCTTCCTTAAAAGGGTGGAGAACGTGTGTAAGTAAAAATCTAGGTCGTACAAAATTACTAACAAATAAAATGAATTATTCTTCGATGTTCCTATTAGATTAGTTCGAAACTATTCTCCCTTTAAACCTAAATTGAATACTAATCGCGATAGCGTCGACCTAATAACTGGAATGTGTAATCTTGCAAATTTCCACTGACCTAGATTTCTTTGGTTCGCACGAGTCGCTCAATAAACACCTGATTAATTAATTACTCGCGAATCGATACACACCGAACATTACCTAATTGATTCAATCGTTTCGCTGTTATATATCGATACTGTTCTGTCGATAATCGTTAAATAAATAGCGCCGAAGATGGAATCGTCAAGGAATATTGGCTACAAAGCATGACCGTGCTCGAGAAGGGAAGGAGATAGAATTATCAAGCGGTATTGGTAACAACGCGCGAACGTGTTCGAAAAAGTGAAGAAAGAGAAGGGCGTCAGACGGAGGCATTATGTGTTTCTGAGGTTGGTCCCTTCGCTTTTATCCGCGAGTAATACCTACACACACACGTGCTTACGTAACATGAGTTTCGGTGCACGATGAATACGTGGAATGTAAGAGGTCAACAGAGAAACCATTGTTGTCTGCTGGCAGACTTCAGAACTGGAAGGCGTTTCGAGCTCGTAGTGGCCATTTTCGCAGTTTAACTGTCTACGGTGGCAAGATAGAAAAATGAAAACGTCTCAGAAAACTGGGGCCACTGTACGCCAAGCACGCTATCACGGAACCGATGCCACGATAGAAAAATATTGCACTCGTGTGCCACGTAATCGATTCACATCCACGTATCGTCGATCTCGTATCTTAATTATGCTTCGACTCTGTTAAGGAGTAACACCACTGTGAAAACCTGAAATAAAGCGTGTTTTTGCGATTGGTTTTTTGGATGGATGGAAATGTAAGAGGAAAAAAAATATTACTTACGTACGTTCGGTTTAAATAATTTCAGTTATAGAAAGATGTTGAGCGACACCTGTAATAAGGTTAAAGATCGCGCGGGAATCCCCGTGGCTTCGAGTCGAGTCGTTTGTTCGAGCTACATGGTCGGCATCGTAGATACTGAAATTTATTTATGATAAAATATGTAATACCTGAAGAATAATTACAGCGATTGTGTTTAACATTTAAATATTCTCTATATATATTTATTCTTTTCAACAAAAGAAATATAGAAAGAAGGGAAGGGTGGATCGTGAAACAGGACGTTTGCTAGCGATCGTAAGCGTCGTGTAGAAACGTGTAGCGCGACTATTCGAGCGACTTAACCCTTAGCCATAAGTACGGCGAGTAACGAGATTTGAAAATATACAGTTCCAGCAAGTGTTAAGTCCATTCCTAGACGAGGCCAGCCAAGTGCTGAGATTTTGCAGTGCAACGACGTCACCGCCGCGGCTCTTTTACGTACAAACTGTAGGAACTGTATTATACATTCACGGTAAACCCGCTTCGCTAGGAAGAATCGGTAATCAATAAACGCAACACACGGGTATTGCTTTGAAAATATGTCGTACGGATTGTACCAGTCCACGGACAACTATTTTTTTTGTTAACACCTTGAATTTCGTTGTATGACTCGAACTGAATCGCTTCGATAAGTAGCTTCGATTTTGTTTCGCGATTAAATCATGACATTTGACCAAACTTAATTTCTGCAGGCGCTGTTCCATAGGCTTCACTCTGCTGAACAATTTCAATGATTTATACGCTTCGCTCCATTGAATGAATAAACTTCGAACGTGATAAGGATAACACGCGCTTCGCATGTGGCTCCTACGATTACAGATAATGAAAATGAATTACTACTGCTTTAACGAAACGGTACAAAACTGATTTTGTTCGACCGACTTTGTTAAATTAAATTTGGTTCGATCCGATTCTTAGGAAAGCACCGTGTATCGTGCAGCCCAATTAAAATTCGTTATCTCGTTTCGCTTCGTTCTATAATTAACTACGAATGCAAAAAGCATTCGCAGAAGTTCTTGTTTCTTATCGAGCGTACGCAAAATTCGACCGGAGTAACCGTGTCGAAAATATCTCGAAACTTTTTCGCGAGTGCGTTAACGTTTCGAGAGACCCACCGAGTAAATATGTTCCTTTCTCTGAAAATAACTTGGAGGACACGGGGCTCGATATTCCCGAACGAATAGCAATTATTAATTGAAATTCAATTGTGTTACTTATTATTTGCAATATGGTGGTTCCCTAGAAATTAGTTATTTTCATATTTTCTTTTGAGTTTATTGCGTAAAACTGCGCTCGGATGTTAAAATTAACCGGAACGACAAAAAATATGAAAAGAATATAATCGACTTCTTGGAACCACATTAATCTCGCAAAAATAAGTTATCTGTTTACAATTCGTGAAACGCATATACAGAATTGGGCAAATTTTGTTTGCAAGTAACGTATAACGACATGGTTAATAGTGAATAGTATAATTCTCTTATTTTTCCATCCAAAAAAAAAAACAAAAATTAAAACGCTTTATTTGAGGTATGTACAGTGGTGTTGCACCTTAATGCGTAGATTTGTCTCATCCACTCGCGTTTACCGCTACCATTTTATTGGCTTCGTGATGGAGATCCATTTCCTTTCAGAAGCCCATTTCTTGAACTATGTAAAATTTAAATTACAAAAATAGTACCCAATTCCGAGGAGGAACAGATTTTCCATCATGCAACGAGCGTGATAAGTGCAGGTGCACCTATCCACGGAGATTAACTTGACGCAAGTACAGTATGCAATCCAAGATTCTCTCTCTCTCTCTCTCTTTCTCTCCGGTCCGACTATTCGTGACGCTACAAATTATATATGCATGCATAGGTGTGCGTGCCCGTGCACGTACATAAACAACGTACCAACGTATGATATGTTGCAACCACGTTGACCGTGGTCAGGATTGGCTCGACCGATTTATTAAGTCGTGCAAACGAGCGAACGAAAAAGTACCATCAGCCGAGCGAGTTTTATTCTCCAACGCTTGATAAACGATGTGATGATAATAACTACCCGAGAGCGTGTGGCGTGGCACGCACACCGTCAAAGGGAAACTGACGTAGATACCGAAAGAAAATCGATAGGGCATCGAGCGACAGTAATTTTATCTGTAACGACGTCGTGGAAAAAACTGACGCGGGTGGCTAAAGACGCCCAGGTACGTTTCTTTCGTGCTAACTTCGCTAATCCGTTGGTTATATGCATCCGTTGCGCAACAAGTTCGATAGCTTCGTGGAATTCGAATAAATAGCGTAATCGTTGGCTCGTCGAGCAATTAATACATACGAGTCGATTGGATTTCACGATCGTTTTGCCAAGTGTTACCCTCGTTCGTCGCCGGGAAAGAGAAAGACAGAACAGAATCAGAAGGTTGTGAACTTTGAGACGCGCACACGGAGATGATACATAATCTGCGGATGATTAAAAGAAAAGAAAATATCCACGGAGACTCGACGATAGAAGTGAGCTTTGTTATGGAAAAATCACGAAGAAATCTACTTATTCGTCGAAGGAAATAAAATTCATCATATTATTTTATCAAAAACCAAATTGACCTATAAAGAAATCATTCGTATTATATCGTGCACTTACCTCCTTAACCCCTACAATTTTCAATACAATTTGCAAACATTTTGGTACGATTACGTGTATAATCGAAGTTTTAATTTAAAAAAGATTGATGAACTATCCTCTAATTATTAGGAGCTGCGTAAATATATATGTATATTGGTAATATTTGCGCGCAGGCATATGACCAATTATAAATCCACGTCGTGAAAAGATAGCGTGTAAAAACATTTCGTCCGTGAAAAAAGGTCCGATAAGCCACGAGTGAAAATTTATCACGATCAACGGTGTATCAATCGCGCGAATTACGTAATGGCGAAACGTTTAATCAGCTGATACCGCGGGTCGCGTGATGAGTGGATAAATACGTATCAGATGTACTTTCTAGTAATGGGTATTTCTCGTAATTCTTGACGCGTTGATAAGGGAAACATATTCCTTAAAATCGAAGTGGTTTCAAACTATCGCTAATTGATTATGCATCTAACTTTTCATTTATAAATAAAAGAACCGTAGAATTTTAAGTTCGAACATATATTCTCTACAGCCTAAATTCTATTTGGCCTCTGAAAAAAATTATACAATATGACCATTGATAAATGCTAATAAAGATATATACATTGGAAGGTAAATTTCATTGTTTCATTTCTTATGTACGTTTCGTTTCCATTTGAAAGAAACGGAAAAGAAATCGAAACATAAGGTATGCTGCGTGCCATTAATGCAATCATTTACGCTTGATACCTCCAATAAGAACTTTATAGCGTGTAAAATTGTTCGTATATATCTCCCAAGCTACATATCGTTATATGGCGTGCACTGTTCAGCGTTCCTTACACCATATTCGTAACACTTTTGGTTACCTCGTGCATTATCGCGTGTACGTCAAGCAATCGAATCAACAATAAAAAGTACGTCGTTCGTACTATTGACAGTAAGCCGTAATAAACGAGAAACTAGAGGTCAATGACCGAATTTCCCATACGTTATTGAGAAACACAATGTACAGGGTGTGTCGGCCACCTATGAGAAAAATTTTAATGGGAGATAAGATGAAAATCAAGAATACCAATTTGTTGATCGAGGCTTCGTTAAAAAATTATTAACGTTTAAAGTTCCGCCTGTAGAACAGCTGCGTACGCGCGATAGTGGTTCTCACACAACATGAGAAACACTCTAAAGTATTTTGTTATTCTTCTGTATATCACTTTGTAAAAGTTATGTTTACGCGGTGAGCTATCTTTTTGGAGCGTGTGATTGTATTCGTCTGTATTAATTTGACCTAGTGTACGTGCATGGACCGCGGAACGCGTAAACGATAGATCGAAGCTCTATGCAAGTGAACGTAATGGAACGATGATGAGCGTATGTAAACAAGAAGTCGCGCCGAAGCGGCATGCGTCCGAGTTATTTATAGAAATCCATTATTGTGCAACAAACGTGGCTTTACGTAACGCGCATAGTATACCCCCGGTCTTGTCGGTCACTCGGCCGTATACAAAGGAACTCGCTTTCCTCGTCCTTTTGTTTTGCTTTTATTTTTTTTTTTTTTTTTTTTCGCCGGGCTCGCTCGCGTTCGCGAACAAGCGCCCCGGCGAACTGAAAACCGCTTCGCTCCGCACCGCTAGCTACGAATGTAAACAAAAGCTACGAGAGACGGATTCTGAGAAACGTGCGCAAAAAAAAAAAGAACGGAAAAGAAACGACGATTCCTAAATGGAGAGTACACAACTTTGCTCTTGAAAGCTATAGGCATCCGTACTTTTTTTTTTCGCCCAACGATTTCGATCGTAACACGACCGTGATGCTACACACGCCGTCGCGAGGGAAACGAGTGTACGAAGTCGAGAGATACAAACGCCTGGAGTACCGTACATGCATTCCAAACCTGTTTAGACAACTCGCGATAACATTCCAAGAAACGATTAATCGCGACTACGGGTACCCACTCGACTCGACCATTTACCGTCATAGTCTTCGCAGAAAACCGGTATGATTTATTCCAGTCACGATACAAATTACCGTGGAAAGTTTCGTGTCCGAAAATATCATGTATATCGAGATCGTGGCGCGAACAGATTTCTCAGCCCTCTGTATTTTTTCAAATGTTGCATCAAAGAGGAAATACTTATTTAATAAAAAGGGAAAAATTATTTTGGGCTGCGGGGGTCGATTGCAATAATTTTTGGTGAATACTATTTTGGTCTCTAGAATCTCCCATTAAAATTTTTCCCAAGGGTGGCCGAACACCCTGTATATGTATATACATAAATGATGAAAAAAATCTATTTTGTATAATATTCTATAACGAATACATATAAATAATTGTGATGGCCTTTTAAAAATGTATAGATTGTCGTAAAAAAAATCTACTGATTCCGTCAACCGAGAAGAAAACGATTGTCAAAATATTTGATTAATCGGCGATGGAGATAAAACAATCTATTTATTATCTAGAACCTGAAAGGCATATTTCACTCAACTGCACTCCCGCGCCATGCTTGTTGGGCGTGAACGCATGGTAGGCACAAATTCAAGTCGCGTCGCGATGCGAATTCTTTCCGGCTCGGTAGAATCGAACGATGCAACGGGAATAAAGAGAAAACAGAAGCAACGAAATTCGAGTCGAAACCGAAATGAAAAAAAAAATATCGCGGGATTAGATCGCGCGAAAGACGAAGGCTATTGTGCCGGCCGGTCAGCGAGCCGGCCGGCCGGCTTCGCGACAGCTGGCTATCAAGAGACTACTAGATTTTTTGTTTGTATTGTGCGCACGTTTTACGTTCATGTCACGATTACCGAAGCTTGCCAATGCCACGGCGACGTCGACGGGCGGCAGCGGCGACAACGAACGGCGAGGAGAACGAGGAGGTGATGGGCATTTAGATATGCTCGGAATCGGTACGACTCGATGAGGGGGATAAAACACGCCTTCGTTCGCCGATATTATTCGTGTCATCTCGCTCGTAAGAGTTCGCGAGGAAGGCGTTACACCGTGTATTTAAAGTCAGAAATGACGTGGCACGGCAAACCGTTTTATACAGCAGAGAAACGGTGACGTACACGCGACGAACGCATGTTGGCTAGCGATAGAAAGAGGGAGAAAAAAAAACGACATACCCGCAAAACTTCGTTTCCTGTTCCTCGGCGACTTCGACGATTTCCTCGAGTAAAATTCGATCCTCACTACCAAACACTGACATATCTCGTTGGTCCGTAGCACTAGGAATCCCGCCGCGCGATTCCGCACGTCCCAGCAGCCGTCGTCGCGGCAGCGAAAAAGACGACGGGCCTCTCGCACACTCCACCGAAAAAACAACGCGCACACCTCACGCCCTTGCAACACAAATTCTCCGGAACTCGTAATTAATTTTTTATACCGCGGTGGCACGCACCGAGATTCGTCCACGGGACAGCCACTCCGCGCGGCGCACACACAACGCCCGAACGCGTTTTGTAATGGCGATCTTTGGCGGGAAACAGCTGAGGGCCCCCACCGCGTACCACGAATCACTCCGCCACCGGCTTCAGGTCCGTCACCACCGATGGTACATCGAGAGCCCCTTTTATTTCCGTCTTATCTACGCGGCACCCTTCGATTTTACCCAAATATTTCTCCCGAGATCTGTCCGACCCGTAACACGCGACTTATTTTTATTACGTATATGGCGCACTTTCGATCGATCGCACGAGTTCAACGTGATCGTTGATTTAAATGTGCGAACACGCGGATGCCACAGACTCGACAACGTTTTCGAATTTCACCGTGCGAATAGCTGTCGGTAAAATGCGAGGGACCGTAGACCAAGTATCGCGTAAAACGATACGACATTTCACATTGATCGTCCAATGAACTTGGTCGTGACGCGAAAAATCGTTTTACGTATACGCGTCGACGAATCAATCACGTGGCGGCACATACTAAACTTCGTCGCCCGCAACACTTCGACGATTCGAATAGCACTTCGCGGCACTGCAGCGACGAATAGTATCCAAACGAATGTACGGTCGAGAGCGAACGATGAACTACGGTAGCCGTTAATCTTGTACGACAAGAATACACAATGACAACAATATCATTTGCTGACACACGGACGCGACATGCACAGGGGTATTCACGGCGTTGGATGCTCGAGAACCATTTTCGAGACACTCGCGAAAAATTTAGTGGACACGGTTAGGGTGAACGGTACATCGTACTCTGCCCTGGACAACGACTCTCTTTGGACCAATCCCACACCAGCTCATCTTCGGTTTCACGCAGAGTTTCCACAGTTTACTGCAGGTAGTTGTACGGAGACTATCCGTCGCTTTGTGGCAAATAGCTACTACACCTAGCTGTCTCCTCGGCGAGCTATTGTTAGAAATATTTAACGCGCTAGGAGGAACTACTTTCGCGTCGCGTAGGTTTACGCTAGAGGAATGGTGCGGCCGCGCGGGAAACATCTGCCAGCTGGCAAAAGCCCCGCCCATAGAATACGCCAGTCTCCCCCACTTCCCCCACCTGCGCGAGCTAAACCAACGTACACAACGTTAAAACCATTTTGTACATCCATGACCGCGCGCCCATACATGCACAATTTTCTATCCTGGTCCTTCATCGAGCTCTCTGCGCAACGTTACACGATACGAAAGTTGACAATAAAAATTCGTTGCTTCCCCACACGTATGATACACATCCTAAGTGTACTGTCGTGCATATTCCCATACAGATACGCTATGAGATGAATAATGGAAAGACGCGTGTGTACGATACGATTAAATAAAAAAATTATAAGTACCGCGTTCCAGAATATCGTAAGCTGCTCGTTCTCTCGATTGCACTCTTCGAATAGTATGAGTTTTTAAACGATGCGTTACAGCGTACAGAGAAAATTATTAAATCATGATTCTATCGCGTGCAATTCCAAACGATCCTAATTAAATATATGAAAAAATCATTTTTTATACAAACGTGATAATCGTAGAAAACAATAAAATCGTACGATATCGTGCGTTCATAAATAAAATTTGTTGATAATATTAGCATAGATACGAAATGAACATCGCTATAATATTCTTTCTATAATTTTTTTCTTATTTAAATCGATCGAGTCTCAAGAATCTTGTAACTGACGCCATCTAACGATCAATTATAGAACTTACTAAGAATAACGGAGCGGCAACCGAAATACAAACACTCAAACGATTTAATATAAACAATGTACTTCCATCATTATTTGCAAATTTTTTTTTTACAATATCTGTGAAAAACATTTATTTTCAACCATTCTCTCTTTACTTCTATAAAAGAAATATACGAACGACGAACTTACAAATAAAAAAGAGAGGGAATAGAGAATGTTCGCTTCTAAAATTAGCGTATCGATAAATACTGTTGTCGATTATCTGCGGCACGGTGTTTTGTTTATTTCAATATAATGACAAACTAAAAGTAATATTTGGAGACTGTATTCATAGTTATTGTTTATATTATTTGTATACATTAATAATATATTACATTGTAAAAAAATGAAGATTGTATAATTATTGTTTAGAGGGGCATAACTATGAATACGCCTTAAATGCAGTTAAATAAATGAAAATAACATTAATTCCTTTCTCCTTCATTCATTAACTGGAAAATGATTTTTAAACCTAATGTCATGTTCGTACATTCGAACAAAAAATGTATTTCATTTTCAGTCTGAATAGAAAACGATAAGTATGTAAATATGAAATTGCGATGCATTTTTATATAAAGAAGCTAAGTAATCAACGTTATTTTCGTAACTATAGTATTTGCATTAAAAGACATTTGCAAACATGAAATCCTTCCAATTTCACACAAATTTTTACTTCGTTTGACATGTAATTTTAATCAAATATATTCTGATTTATGCCAAGTATTGCATAAATACAAATATCATTTAGATCTCTTTAAAATAATGCATGTGCACGTTTTATATAATCATTATAAAACAGAGGATTTTCAATGGGAGAAATTGTTTTAAATACGTATATTTAAAATTAAGTATTGTTTCATAGTAAAAGAATTTGAACTTTTCTATCGAATTTCACACTATGCTGAGTTGGACGTTACTTTGTTTTAAATCTAAAACTCGTTAAAATAACACGTAGAAATTTGTTGCAATCTGCGTTTTAGTTTTGCCATTGACATTGTTCTCTTTTGTACTCGCAATAACGTGATTAGTGTATCTAAAGCAAAACGCAAACTTTTCAAGTTTATAACTGTAATACTATTTATAATGCCTCCCAATTTATATACACTAATGGATTAAGAAAACGTTACTACTTTTTCTTTGATCAGCAGATATAGATATACAATATTCTCCGAATCGATAAATTTCTTACAATGTTAATACGATACCGCACGTAAATAGAACAAAAGGATACATTTTACCATACAAAAAGCAATTAAATTTCTGGTATGATTGACGCAATAGCATGTAGTTGATGAATTGAATCTTTCGTGTCTAACGTTCATCAACTAAGTACTAAAAAAAAATTTGATACAATACCATAGTAGTACCCACTGAGATTCCAAAATGTTGAATAAATAAAAAGAGTAACTGTGTCACTCTATCATACTAAAAATAGTATTTAAATAGTCCAAGACAAATTAGTCTTAAACTTTGCTCGACTTGTTTACTTTACTGTAATGATTATAAAGCTAGATATAGATACAGTTTATTTTGATATACAAATGCATCAACCACTTTCTAACAGTTTCCTTTCTTGTACAACGTGGTTATGTCCTCTTTATTTTTCAGAAAAATTAGCTAAACCTAATATTGTGCTAAATGCTATATTTACAAGGTTAAAAGTTGATCATTTCGTTTTCTTTAATTATGTACAGATGTGTACTTGTTGGTTATAGTAGAGAGTAAATCAACAAATTTATTAAAATACGTAAAACTATTTTATTAACGCGAATTGTATCGTTAAGGCAAATGTGATTAGAGCTGCGATAAATTGATACCCAAGAATTAGTTTGTACTTTAATATTCCTTTTACTATATTTTTACTTTCTATTTTAATACATATTTGTCAATTTACTCCGCTAACATTTTTTTTCCTTTAAATTACACGTTTTTAATTTCTGTTTCTTTAAAAAAAGAGTAAATATATATTAGTAATTTTTTTTTTTTTATGTGGTTCATGCATCTGCAGACAATTTAGTGCAACATGATATCATGGATTTACAAATACTGGCGAAATTCCATTAACGTTTCCTCCGGTTATGGTATAAATAAATGTAGATATTATTGGGTAATCCATTTTGATCTTTTTCTTATTGCATTGTCAACATCACACAAAGTTTATGATATTACAAATAGAGGATAATCTTCCGAATGACACTCACGACCGATCGACACGACATTTCGAAGTGAGAAAGAGGAAAGAAATTGAATGTCAAGTATAAAACTTTTAGTTTCAAAGATATTGATAAAAAAATGTTGGGAATTATTGATATGCCGCCGCCTAAACATATATATATATATATATATATACGCACATATACATCTTCATTGTGTAGTGGCCTTTGCGTCGTCGTCGATCAGATTCCCGCTAAAAACATACAATGTTTCAGCGACGGCAGGGTCTTTGTTAAATCTACTAGTAAGCAAATCCATAAGGTATCCCACGGAATATGAGTTAGCCCCTTTGAAAACGTTAGTTTGCAATATATTATTCTAATAAAACTTAAATATGTACATATAGCGTCGACTATTCGAAATCAAAAGTATTAAAGTACTCGGGAAGTATTAAATTCCCAAAACTAAAATTTTATATTTGGCATCCATTCTCCCTACCCTCTTTCCTCCCCAATTTTCATATCGATCGACCACGGGTGCCATTCGGAAAAATAGCCGAAATTAATTTGGATCAATTTCGTTCTGGAATATATTAATTTATGTCGAAATTTAGAATTATTATTTTATTACTTTTTACTACATAGGCGTATGATAATAATAAAATATGTTGCAATACCTTAGTAAAAGTAACATTCGTTTTAAAATCTCTATTATATTAATCAAATAATTAATTTCACACAGTTATTCAAAAAAAGAGATAAACTATTTAAAAGCAAACCTTCTCACAAATTAAAAGTTTACATTAAATTGTGTGTAATGTTTAATTTCTTCCCAAAACGAAATAATCCATTTATTTTAAATAAATACCACTGTGTTCAAATTCGCGATAAAGTAAGATATGTTCTATGACAAAATGAGATCTTTATCTTTAGCTCTTTTTTTTATACGTATCTATATGTGTATACATTAAGTATATTAATAAAGCATATAATAAACAAATGTATGTAAAACCACTGTAAAATATGAATTTTGAATTACTTGCATTTACATGCCTTACCTGTAAATCCATGTTTATTCTTATGAAATGATGAAACTTATTCGTGTTATTGACTACATACTAGCTTTGTTATAATAACTTTTTCAATCCTAATTTCAACCTTTCCTGAGCTGGATTCACTTTGATTTTTAATTGCTGAATAAGATCATATATTTTTAAAGAAGGCCCAACTTTAAAACCCGTCAGGTCTATTATTTGGTCCTTGGTGAGTGTTAACAAAGTTTTTCCATCTATTTTACGTTTACTAAAATTATCGCAATACGTTGCACAATCATTAACGCGAAGAAATTGTGCAACATCAAACACATTCCATTCAGATGGCACTAAATCACCAGATTCCGAACATTTTTGTACACCATCTGCTAGCCTTGGGATGTATTTACTAGTGGCAGACATCACCTAAACAACATGATTTAATCTAATAGCATAGTAAACTTTTTTTCTCAAGTATTGTATGCTCGAAACAATTTTTATATTAAACTTCACGCCTTGCATTAAATTCAACTTAAAAAATTAATTCCACGGTACGTCTAATATACATATGTAATTAAATGAGGAAGTTCTTCATCGGTTTTTTACTAGAAATTTCTGAATATTTAAAATGGTATTGAAAATAAGGAATACTACTTACATTAATATACGATGTTGCAGTTCGTTCTTTTGGTGGTGGAGGGCTTTGTATCTCACTTTGAGTATCATTTAATGCTTGACCTTGTCCAGTAGTAGGACTAGGTAAAGTTTGATCAGGTCCAGCTGGTTCTTCTGCTGGCTCTGGTTCCCTATTTCTTTGTTCTGGTAGACTTTCCACATCATGTTCTCTTTCAATTTTTATTCCTTGAGCAGGCTCTAGTTCTCGTTCACGTTCGCGAGCCATGCTGATACGTTCACTGTGCCGAGGTAGAATGTTTTTTGCGCAGGACATTTTGCTGCTTTTCTTCAGTTTTCTCTTAGCTTTACGTTTAAGGCCTCTTGGTGATTTTACTAAAATATGTAACGATCGTGTTCATTTAACTGCCTACTGTGGCGCCTTGGATATTGGCCGACATTTATTATTATCTTCCAGAAAATTACAAGCGTAGAAAAACATGCTTATGAGTATTTACCAGTAGGACTAATGTTTTTATTGAGTACACGGGGCCCTTCTAATTTATGATCAACTAGATCACACCATCCAACTGGATAAATGTCAGGACTCTGACAATCTAGCCACTGATCATATTCGTCTTCCCAACCATCAAAGTGTACTCTTAATAACCTCCCAATCACCCTGGTAATAGTAGCAACACAAACTAATCTAGGATCCATTAAATCAGCAGCTTCGAGTCTCATCCCTTCAATAAATCCATGTTGAGGTATTTCCTACAATGTAACTTATTATTTATTTAAACGTAATGAACAAATGATTATGATGACAAGGTTATTTCTCTCAATATGCAAGGAGGAAGAACAATATTATTCAACAGTTGTATTGTTTCAATGGTCTTTGATTATGTAAAACGTCTGTATAATTACCCTGTTAAATAATTGCACTGGAGCAGGTATAGTATTTATCTCCATTAAATATGTATCCCATGTAAATGTAGTGGGATCATATCCCTTTGGTGGCGTAAGCGGTAAACCGTGTTGAGAACAAAATCCGATCGGAAAAATACAAGGTGAACATGAATGATAACAAAACCAATCAGCACCACTTGCATCCTCATCATAACTATCTATACGAATCATTATGTAATCTTCTTTTAAAACTTGCATAACCGTTGCTGCACATATGGCAGAAAGATTAAGCGGATCAATGGCTTCTATTTTCATTCCTTCTCGAAATGTGTAACCAAGGTGCAAGTGATGGTTCTTTGGCACATAAAAAAGATCTTCGGTTGAATCGTCCTGACATAATTTTGATTTTGTCACACGTTCTAAATATTCCGGATATGCATCCAATGTTTGCCCTACCCTCTTGGCCCAGCCAACAGGATGTATCAGAGGGGAATCTTCGTGGCACCAAAAACCATTATCTTCGGGTGGCGAATCATAGTATCTTACATGTAAACGTTTGCCAACAATTTTCTGTATTGTTGCTACTTTTACTTGTGAGATTCTATTTTTATCTACTACTTCCAAATGAAGTCCACATCTGAAACGCGACTTCATACTATCATTAACTTTATTATAAAAATTAGTTGGCAGTGTCCTTGCACCTGTTAATCGTCTCATTAAAAAATCCTTCCAGTCTTTGTATTTGTTAGCAATTGCTGTAAAAAATTGTCACGATTAATATACATTTTAGATAAATAAATGTCCCGAAAGGAATATCTTTTTAGAGGTGCGTTTACATATACCAAATGGCAAATGAAAAGCTTCGATCGGACGTGATTCTTTCCTGAACCGAGTATCGATACAAGATCGATTATCGAAACGGATTTATCGACGCTCGGCTAAATACAAACGAACGGTGCGATGCCGTTGCAACGAAGACAGACAAGATCGGCGTTTCGCAGTTTGGCATATATCAATGCACCTTAATACCTCACTAATGATGTTTACTTACTATTAGGTGGAATGAGAGGTTTACCAATAGTTGCACACCAACCTACTGGATGTATGTCATTGGAGCACAGAGATACCCAGAAATCTTTATCAGCGTTAAGACCGAAACCTTCGTACCTCAATAAAGCTCTATAGCCAGATATACGTAATACAGTAGCAACCCAAAATGAATCCGGGAACGCTTCGCATACTTCATCGCAATCCGTATTCTCTACTTCAACTTTCATACCAACTGTTATATTATCCCATATTTCTGATATAGGTGCCTGGAAAACAAAAATCTGATTGAATATTAAACCAAAATTGATATTGTATAGTATTCTTATTTTAATTTCGTTGGAAACTAACGTGTTTAAAGCAAGATACTGGAGCAGCACAAAATCCAGGTTCCACTAACTGTGGGGTCCAATCATAAGAACCTGCCATTTCAGCAGTTCTCTTTCTTCTTACGGGTAAATCCTCTGGCATCACTGGTTCAGCTATAACTTTTAGTTTTTCATATTCAATAGGCTCCTTTATATCTGGTTCTTCCTTCACTAAGGCCTAAAGAAGTTTAACATGTTACACCCTTGTTTTGTAATATTCATTTCCTTTTAATTTGCGATTTATTCATCGAATAAACAATAATCTCTGGTGATACAACTTACAGTATTTATCACTTTGGATTCAGGTGGAGAAGGTGAATTCACAATTGTAGGGGGTTCTACAGAATGGGATGGACTGTATGTAGAATCTGCAGTGGGAGCAGTATGTTCTGAAGACCGTGCACATGCTCTACTACAAAATCTACGCTCCTTTGTATAAAATGCATGTTTTACACCAATAGCACCACATTTTTCACAAACAGCTGTAAGACATAAAACCCTCTTCTAAGTAATATCTATATATCATTTTAATTATATTCTTAATATATTCTAAATTCTATATCTTACCTATACCATCCTTACGAATGGGAATAAAATTTAAATCTGTATGCGGTTGATATGCAATTGGTGTTTTTAAAACAAGTCCAGGATGCTTTATAGGTTTTATTTTCCTATTACGATTGTCCTGAGTAGTTTGGGTTGCTGCATTGTTTACAACTTGCTCCCTTTCTTCATCACCCATGTAATCTTCTAATGTTAAATATTCAGTCATTTCTTGTCTTTCTGATTGCGAATCATATTCCTAAAATAATAATAACAATAATGGTAAATAACAAACAAAAGATCAAATGGTATAATGATGGAACCATTTCTGTAAAATTAACTTGCTTGTTGCATTTCCTGAGCATCGGCTGCTTCCATAGCTTCATCAGGTTCTGAACATTCGGTAGCAAATTGAGGCGGTAGATACCGTACCATGGTTGTAGGTGCAATTTGATGATTCCTAATGTCATCATATGGATTTGAACCATGAGAAAAAAATGGACTTTCTGCTTGACGGGGATCCAACATAAGTTCATGAGTAGGTTCTCCATGTACCATCATATCTCCCATCCATACCATCCCTAGTTCCGGTAATCCAGGGATGGAGGCATACACTGAATTCATACAAATATCCATTCCTATATTCACATAATGATTGAAATGTTACTTTTAGATATTTGATATTTTGTAGCTTCAAATAATGAAATGTTGCGATTAAAACAGCAATCTCTCAACACCGAACGGAACAATTTTCTATACGTAAATTGATTTTAATACAATCAAGACACTCGATATTTGGACGAGGATATTTTTTATACATGTAGAAAATTTTATTTAACAAAATATACATATCACGGCGTATAAAATACACACGATTTTTTAAATCTAATCTATCGTATTTGAATACTACTCTACATCATATAAAATCTAAAACGAACTCAATATGATTTATTTCTCAAAGTGACGCCTAAACTTTGAAAATCAACATTTATTCAACCTTTTCCACTGGGAAACATATTTCAAGAGAAGATGTTCCTCTTTGAAGATACACCATATCCTGTGTGAAGTATTCAAATCCAGGATCATAAATTACGATGTAATTTAACGCGCGAAGATATCACATAGCTTAGGAAAACAAGTACGAACCATTAGAAGCTTGCATGTCCATGACAAAGCAGGGCCTGGAAACTCCTGTATATTCAAGTGGTGTACAAATTGCTACGCCATCTGATACGAATGATTATCATTACATAGAATCGGCGGCATAAATGAAATTTTATTCTACTTCGTCGTTACGTCGTTTCGCGAGGGAAATTACATATGTATAAATCATCAAAGTACCCTAGTAACTTACATTTCCCTAATTTAATACAGTTTAAAATGTTAAAACTTAAAAGGCAATTTCTAACAGTACGTTTCTATAGTATTAAATATTTCTAACAAGATCAATCTACACTGGGTACATGTTGAAGTTGTTTAACATTTCTTTTTAAAATTCAAAATGATTATCTTTCGCTCGAAATAGAGATAAAAGGGATGTAATTATAAACAGATTATCACGTAGATCAAACTGTCGTTGGTTCGTTATGACGACATAATTCTCGGCCATGGAATAGTTGCAAAGGAAGATATACTACCCAACAGCTTAACATAAAATGTTAGTAAGATTCTTTTATCCACTTTTATCTCTAGCCATGTTGTACACTAGGGACAAGGGCCCTATGCTTTCGATTGATAAAACAACACTAGAAATATTATATGTTATCAATTGGAAATCATCAATATTATACCACACTTTTTTTAAGAAATTCAATGCTTTCCCAGAAATTGAATTGATATTACAAATATCAATAAAATATCGATACTTTTAGATAACTAATTTATCTATAAAAAAACCGAATGCTTCGAGTATCAACTTATTATACTCTAATTTTGTTGAAATATACGTTTAACAAATAATGATCGATTGAATTATTTATGTTTATTCGCTGTAATGTTTAATCTATCGTATCATGCACTATTCGATCAATGGTTAAATTTTTAATACTACGTGTACTGCGTATATATGCATTGTTAAGCTCGTTCAGTGAGTTTTATTTACTTTTTAGATTAAAATGGGATTTAAATTTTGATGCCCAATGTACCTAAATAATAATGTAATTGAAAGAAAGATGTAATTTAAATTAATAATAAATAAATAATCATGTGATTTATAATGCTAAAAAATAAATTTATAACCCATTCTTTGTCAACAAATAATAATTCTTTGCAAGTTATATCGACAACGTTTGTACTTATTATCAAAAAATTACATCGAAAATGATTGTTTGATAGTTAATTATCATGTTCTGTCATCTCACTAAAAAACATCGATATTTATTACTACTAAAGGCTTTAGACTATTTAGAAGATTTTATTCGTTATTTTTAATATTAAAAAAATTATTCTATTAATTGTATCTGTAATGACATATGACTTGCAAATTCATAAGTGGTTTGTCATTGATCTTTGATTTGTCCATATTATGTATTCATATATCAAACATGGTAACTTTAATTCTTCTAACAGTAATTATACAAAATTTTCTCAAATTTAATTGACTTTATTCTATTGTCATTTTACTAATTCAAATAACTTTGTTTTACAGAAAACATATCGGTGAAGTGATTGTAGTGAAAATATTGTATATATAAATATCATGAATCAATTAAAAAGACAACCAGCAGAAGTGAAGTTACCAGTACCATGGGGTCATGTAGCAGCAAAAATATATGGCCCTTTGCAAGAATCTAAAATTCTGGTGGTACATGGTTATTTAGACAATGCTGGATCATTTAATAGATTACTTGAATTTCTCCCAGAACATTATAATTATGTATGCATAGATTTACCAGGACATGGATTGTCATCACCATTTCCTTCCGGTGTACCATTAAAATTTTTTGATTATGTATACTCTATATTGTTAGTTCTGGATGCTTTAAAATGGCAAACTTGTATTTACATGGGGCATAGCTTTGGTGCTCAGATAGGAACATATTTCAGTATTTTATATCCAGGAAGGCTTGAAAAAATTATAGCCATAGATGGAATTATGCCTTTCCCAATCAAGAACCTTGTTTCTTACACTCAGCAACTATATGATTTGGATTCTTATAATAACACTTCAGAGAAACTCTATACCAAAGATGAAATAATGCATGCTTTGAAGTTCAGAAGACAAGAAGTATTAAACACAGATGCTGCTGAAGCTATGTTTGAACGTGCAGTGACAAAAATTGACAATTTGTACAAGTACAATCGTGATCCTAGATTAAGATTCTTTTTAAAACCACTTTTCACTATAGAACAAAGTAAAGAATTCTTGATGAAATTCTTAACCCCAATTTTGATCATTCTGGCAGACAATTCTACCAAAATAAAATCATATTCTTATCTGGTGAAGGAAATAGAAACATCTGTCAATGATAAGAGTATATTTCTGACAGTTGTTGTAAGAGGAAACCATGATGTACATAACAATTACCCAGAAAGGGTAGCACCACATATATGTCACTTTTTAGGTAACACCAGAAAAAGTAAATTATAAAATTTTATTCTTAAAAAATAACAATTTTTAGAAATACAGTTATTTAATTAATAATAAATTTATTTTTGTTATGGATGAAAGTTATTTTTTATATTGTTTCTATTTATATACATGTATATATATATATATATATATACACACACATATACATAATAGTATTAAAATATGTAGAAACAAATGTACATTTCAAATGGGTTATAAATAATTATATGAATCGAGAGAGAGATATTGTTGGCATCATTTGACTTGTATACGTACTACACCTTCAGCTTGTTGAACTTTTATACAGACCTCATTACCTTGTAGAATAATATTTTTTAATTCATCTTCCAGTAATATCGCCGTATGATTCATAAACGATCCGTTTCTTCGGGTGTCATAATTGTGATTCAATGTTAATCTGATTTTGTACCAACAAATCAATGTATTTGGCAATAGTTTATTTTTAGTAGCGTTTAGTTTCCCAAAGTTTACTATACGTTCGGCAACTTCACTTTCTTTCATTTCTATTACTACAACTTCGTTAGATAAAGGTTCGTATAGGTATAAACTTGAATTTAAATCGAAAATCTGATTTATCTACAATACAATAAATTACTTAAATAACTTTGTTGTTACAATGTTGATTTATTATTTTACCTTAAATTCGTTAATATGTTGTGCAATTCCGTACGAATTTTGGTTGCTAAAAGTATTTTGTATATTTTGATAATTAGTTTTCTGAAAGATAAAAAGAAATAAATAAATTGGTTCTGTTTTATTTAAGATGGATGATGGATGATTTATTTAAGAACATATTTATAAAAACACACCGTTTCAGGACTTGATGTATTAAATAAAAGTGTGGGCATTCCTTGTAAATTTTCATCTTTAACATAAACCATGTTTGGTAAATCTTCAGAGTACACAAGCTGACCTATTAGGAATACTTGTTCAGGTAACAAGATACCATTTGGTTTCAATAAACATCTGCAAAATGGATTATAAAATTCATAAAATTTTGTCAGATCGACTATAAGTTAAATCCATCTTAAATATTTTTACCTAAAAAATTCGTAATTGTGTTCCTGACCACAATCTTTTAGTTCCCCTTTAATATCAAAATCATGAACGAATATAGTATCTAAAGAAACTTTTATATGGCTATACTTCGATATAATACACAGTTTATTTTTAAAATCATTTTGTTCTGCTATTTGTTGTATAAAAAGTTTCAGCACTGTATTTTCAGTTTTATAATATAAAATTTTACTATATTTATTCTCCTTTAATAACAGCAATCCATAAATTGGAAAAGGTGATGTATCCAAAATGCTATTTATTTCTTTGTTGATTAGCGATTTCGTAACTTCGGTAAGTAACTTTACATATTCAAAGTCATTTAAAAATGTTATAACTTCTTTCGGTAAACGATATAAAAACTTTTGATCGTTGTAATTATTAAATTCAGCATTGTTTGTCGTATAAGAACATTTTAATTTTCTTTTCAATATTTCCCCCTTGATTATTAACATGTCCCCTTGTTTGAATAAATTTGGTATAGCTGGAAAAATAGCAGTTTGCCAACAGGATTTTTTCTCTGATGTATCTATTGTTATTTCATCATCAAGGTTCAATTTAAACCAAGTCACTAAGCCATCCACAGTACCATTGTGTCTACATTTTACGTTTATCATACTCTTCACCCCATCCACATTAAATTTTTGCAAATCCGATAAATCGTTGAAATTAACAGTTAAAAGAATTTGAGGCTCTGTTATATAAGTAATTTTTACGTTTCTTAAATTTTCTGTGTCATAATATTCATCATCCGACAATACAGACACGTTATCAAAATTTAAAGGGCAAAATTTTGTTACTTCCTCGAACACTACAGTTGATCTGTATCTTATATATTCACACTCTACTGCAGCTACATAAAGTGTAGCACTCATAGGTATTACTGTACCATTTCTATCCAAAATATTTGTATGAACACTTATCATTGATGGTACCACGTGTTCTCCAAATAGTCCACCATCAAAGGTTTCTGTTACTACAAGTTTCACTCTGCAAGAAATATATACCTTCAATAGAAATCAAACACTTTTGCATCTAAAGAAAAGTTGATTATTAATATGATATTGTATTCCATCTAATAAATCAATGACAGACCTTTCTGTAATGTCGGTAGGTATTGTAAGATCTATAGAAAATTTTGGTAATAATATTATGCCTTTAGCATCATTAGTTTCAAATACTTTCTCTGCAATTTTTATCATTACTGTTGAACATTCACACGCATAAATTTTCTTAGCACCTGCATTTTGTGCATATAAACTTAATAATCCTGTACCAGTTCCTATATCTAATACAGTGTCATATCCTTGAGATATTCTCTTATGTATAGCATTTTCAAAGGCATTATTCCGTCGTTTGTCATTTAACATTGGAAAGTGCCACCTATCTACAGCCATACTAAATGCATTTTGCAAGTTTCTTTCTGCTGGTAGAAAATTGGAATTCGCTCGCAGGGCACGTTTTAAATATTTTATTGCCTTTAACGGATCATTATTCCTTTAACAACATATTTTTTATCCTCATTATATGGAATTTTAGCAGTCATGATATCTGTTATGTTAAAAAATCAATTTTAAATTGACTAGTTGTAATTTTACCTATGCGATGAATTCAAATTACCTTAAAAGATGTGCTGCAAAATTATTTAACATACGGGGATTGTTTGGATAAATATCTAACGAGCGTGTATAACATAAAACAACGTCTGCAAATCTGTCTTCGCATGCAAGCTGCATTCCCCATTGACCTAAGGAACAGGGTATTTACAAACGTTTGCATAAAGAATTAAAGAAGCATCCAAGCGTTAGAAGAACGAACGTACAAAGTACATCAACAAAAGCTTCCTCGATTTCCGATCTCTTTGCTGGACATAATTCTGCTACAACCGTATAATACGCGTATGCCTTTCCAACATTCCCAGTTCTGTCATGATCATAAGCCTTTTGCAACGATTTCGTTACTATTTCGTTTACTTCTTTCTGCATTATTAATAAGGTATGGGATTTCCCTTGATTCGTATTTATCATAAAACTGCATACCCCTTGTTACTGTTTGAAATTTAATCAAAATTCAAACCTCCGTCTCGTGCAATAAAAATTACATGCAATGTACATTAACCGAACGTGAAACTGGGATTAACTTTAAAAATTCGTCGCTATAAATTTGACATTGCACGTCTTTTCGAGCTTTGGATGTTGGTAAACATTTATAATGCATTTAAATATTAACATTTCTGATCTATGTTCGTCACTGTTTGTCACGTTATAGATCTCGATGCAACGGAAAACTTTTAAGCGCCATCTATTTATGTGCACATTATTATTATGTAGATGTACAGATATGTAAGTGTAATGCACGAAAGACACACATAATATAGATTTGCTTCATTAGAAGATTTTACGCGTCTAAAATTTATTTACGACCAAAATTTTATATTGGTTGCGAACAACCACTATCGAAGATCAGAATTTTATTTTGGTTGCACGCGATCCTTTTCGACTGATAATCTAATAATGATAATAATAATTGTCGACAGTCAGAAGTAAGTAGATAAAGTGGTAATTGCGATATCAACTATCTGGTGCTATCTATAACTAAAATAAAATGTTGATCATTGATAAGAGTGTACGAAAAATGCGACACGAGTATATGTTTTTCGGTTTTTTTATGGAAAATTGATAGGGGCGCCATTTACGACAGAACGTCCAAGTTTGTTGAAGAATAGTACGTTGTCTTCGTCGCTACGTGGCGCCTCCAGCAATGTTCCATATTATCGCACACCGGGTATACCTCGTCTGTGATTATACATATAAGCTTTGAATTAAGTTTATTAAATAGACCGACGAATATAATCTCAAGTTAATTACAAAGAAAATTAGAAATTACGAGTACGTGTTACAGTGTCGGTCAGCGGAAGTTGTCAGTGCCTCGTAACGGCAGGAATAGAAACTATTCCTTGGCAAACTCGGCCATTTTACCGTCGTGGGCGGAGCTTTTATAAATAAATTAAACTAATGTGTATTAATACTAGATTAAGAATTTCGTGCCTGTAATAATTAGCACTTGTTATGCCAAATTCGATCTTACAACTTCCTATTGCAGTTATGAAAAACCATGTCACGAATACATGGCAGTCAATGCGTTAACGTCCAAGTTTCTACGTGGAAAATGAATGATGGAAGCGGTCGTTTTCTATTTCCCAGTAACTCAACGGGCAGGAACAGGGATTCTACCTGGGGGCCCGACGCGTAAAGTAAGGGCGCGCGTACTCCAAAAGGATTTCAGATACGTACGCAGAGAGGACGTTTTATTACAGTTTTCATCCGCAGATTAGCCCCTTTGGAACCATCGATACTCGATTCAGGACTTTTATAGCCCCCCATAAAAGTATCTATTTGGTGTTTTCGACTGGACTGAGCAACTCGAACAAAAAGGTATCCCTTCACCCCGCTACCAACGTATCCTCAGGAATTTCTCGGTATACGTGAAACGTTGTTGCGTCTCGGGGTCCAATTACGTACGGGTTTGCCGACCCGACAACGTTCTTTCAGAATCCAAGACGCCGTGCATCCCTTTCTTTCATATTTTATCTTCGTTCCACTGATCTTGATTCTCACCGACCGCGCCGCGACGCCGTAACACGCTTTACAATATAACAAGTCGCTTTTTGAGTTCTTTGTCGCAGTTGGCGGTATCGTGGATCGGTCAAGATCCCAGTTCGCACTCTTTTCTGGTCCATTTCCTGCGTTCGACGTCGTAAATCCTATTTCATCGCATTCTTCGAAGTTGTTACAACGTTCGTCTTCTCACGACCCCTCGCTCGAACGCCATACTTCGATACTTTTGCCGTCCATTTTGTCCATTGCAATTATTTAGAAAATTCCAGCACATCGCAAAAAGAAAACGCCAACGATCTTTTACCGATTTCGACAGGGTCGATGTCGTTCGCGGGTGCAACTTGGGGCACAAAACAACCGTTTCTTTCGCTCTGTTGATGTAATCGCGAACGGAGTGCGTTAAATTCGCGAAGTTGTTCTCCGATCGACGTTTGGTGAGGAGGGGGTGGAGTTGGCCAAGGAACAAGCTCGGTTGCGTGCAAGTAGCAGGGGTTGTTTTCAGGAAACGAAGAGGGGCTGGGGTCGGACATCGATCTGGTAGTTAAGTTCAGGGCTCCCGCGGGACTCGTTGCCGCCGTCGCAGCTTCGTCTCCTCTTTATCCGCCATTGTGTATGTGGGAGTCCTGCGGATCCGCTGGCATCGGTTACACGGCCCGACTCGCTCACATAAACCGCATTACACGTTTTTATGCTCGCATTTATGTACGATCTAACGAGACCAATTCGAGCACCGTTCTCGCCAAGACATCGAGAAACTTTTCCTCGCGAAAGGAACGACAAACAAATCGCGGGAACCGGCTCGTAACAGTCTCGCCCCCGAACCGTTCTAACGATTTAATCGTTATTGCACTCCCGTACAATCTTATCGGTCTTTATTGTTTCTCGTTTGTGGACGATTCGCGCGAATATCGCCAAGAGTGAAAACCAATCGTTTGAGTACACTGTTTTGAACGGAATACGAATGCTTTGGATTTATACATAATCTACCATGCAACCGGAGATAAGCTATTTAAAGTCTAAATTGGTATTCTTGACTTTCGTCTTAGTTTGGTATCGATATTGGTATCGTGCCGGAGGAGAAATGAAATGAACGATATAATTACTAAACATAAGACCGTGTATTTTGAAATTTAAAATGCGATCACATATCGATATAATACTAGGCTTAACGATCGTCTAAACACCCATAGTGTTAATAATATTACTAGTTAATAGAATAATAACTTACGGATTGCGGTACTTATATATATACAATTTTCACGTGAGATTTTTCGGTGTTGGTTACGATCTGTTTTCGTTCACATCCACACACGTTCACAAAGAAAATCATAATTCGCGTGTTACGGGTTGGCAACGCTCAAGGCACACGGCGCGAAAATAAAACACTGGCTCTCGTTCTACTTTTCGTCTCGTAAACGTGACTTTTTTTTTTTTGTCCTTTATTGTCATTAAAAGTTCGAAAATCGAAAGAAAGCTTTGCACAGCGACACGGCCGCGAGAAACCGTGCTTGCACCGCGAAGGAATAACGAAAATAGAGAAAAAAGAAACACGTTCGGAGAGAGCAAGCCTAGAAACGACGACGAACATTCGAAGATTAAAATCGATACGATTAAAACTCTGACGGTGCGCGATGACTTTCTTTCTGGTCGAATAAGGCATACTTTCTTACGTACAATTTTCGTTCATCTAACTATAATACTTTAACGCGAACGGTCACTGTACAGGTTCTGCGTTCCAAATTAGCCCTTTCGCAGATCAAATTCACTCTGTTAGAAATTCAACGTGAGGGTGACTCAAAAGCGAAGTCATTTTGTCGTTTATTGTAAATGAAAAACACATGCTTTGCAAAAATGGAGAGGATGATCTGCAAAAAGGTCAGTTTGCAAAACCTGTGTTTCGCAGTTTAAAAAAGGACACGCGCGCGTTTATTACATCTCGTCTTCCGATTCCCAATAAATGACATCGTACAATTTCACTTTGATCTTTTATATGCGTATATTACGTATATACAAATTAGGTGGCGGTGCAGTGTTTGGATGACAATAGAATCGCGATTCGAATGTCTGTTCGTGAATTATACGTCGCTCGAAGGAACCAACAAAGTCGAGAGAAACCCATATTCTCGTTCATTTGCATTGCGCCCGCGCAACAATAGCAATTGGGCCATTCAGCGTAGACGATTTTTCAAAAAATCTTCGCGCAAATCGATCAGCGTTTTCATGTAAACCTCGAATCATCGTAACGTCGAGAACGATTTCCTTTCGATTGTCGAACCGACTGGCTGCAATCGCGAAAGAAAAGGATGTTCGTTTCCATGAAAGCCTCGTTCGTTTTGAAAAATCGATTCTATCGCAGCACAGACACGCTTCGAGCCTATATTTCACGAGAACGATTAATCCTGGCGTCTCGTTCGCGCCAAAAATCGCGTAAAACGCTTGCACCGCGAACCATCATCCAGAATACCTTTTCCTCGTCATCGTTTATGCTATCTCCACGATATATCGGTTGAAGCGATCAACTCCGCTTTTTGAACTTCTTAAAATTTTGGTGTCCAAACACTTGTTATATTTAAAATTGTCAAAAAGAAATTACAATTTTAAAAGGAACCTTAAGTATTTTATAAATTTCTTTCCTTTTTCTGTTGTGGAGTTAATTGATTTGGTAAATGAGCTCGTATGGCGGGCTGAGAATCATAGTGGTATGTCTTACACTCTTTTGCTCTGAATTAATTCGAAATAAAATTGCTTCGTTATCAAAAAGATACACCATCCAGTACAAGTATAGTAAACTGAATATCAAATGCAACAGGGAGCATCGATCGAAATGTTTAGTCAAACTTGTCGATGAAAAACTTCACGATAGACTGTGTGAAATAAATAATCGAAAATACAAGGATATACCGTCCCAAATAAATCACTGATCCAACATCCCTACTCCGAAACTATTAAGAGGGAACGCGTGAATAGTAATGCAGTACCAAGGGGTTCCAGCGTCATATACTTTATTCTATTTACAATTCGTAACGAAAGTATCGTGTTTCGTGTCGTTCCTCATCCAAGGATTGCCTTCGAAAACGTTTCGAAAATACTGCAAAATCGTAATAAACATTATCAACACGTTTTTCGACAACGACGAACGAACGAACGAAACGGAAATGAGATCTTCGTGTCGCGATGCTGATCGTAGCGTTATCGGTGAATTACTAGTGCATTTGTCCCTTCCGGTTGAAAACACGTCGCGTGGTTGCGAACTCTACGAATTTTTTTTAATACGTATACGTTTAGAGAGACTATACAGAATTGTTCGATCCCATCCGACGTCATTCCTCGTCGAAAACGGTTCTGCTGGACAACTTCTTTCCGTCTTAAACGTTATATTTACAATAATAATCGACCAACCTGCGCTTGTAAAATCTCCGAGACGCCTTTGTTTCTCGACTCGACACACCGAAAACGAAAATCACGTTTCTCCGATAAAATCAATATCGGGACATCTTAATTCGTCTAATTTGTACATGCTATACTTTAAAAAAATATATAAAACAGTCTGCTATGGCGCCCCCTTGGATCGCACGAGTGAAGAAAAACCTTAACCGAGGAAAATATTTCCCCCTCTCTCTCTATATATATATATATATTTATATATTTTTCTTTTTCTTTTTTTACCTTTTTAAATCTAACTTAACTCAACCGTTAACTTTCGCTATTGGTATTCGACGCAACCACTCGATACTAGCGGTTTAAGGCAAAGATTGCACGTTTTTTTTTCAATGTCCTGTTTCTGTTTGTCTTCATAAGTATCTGCAAATCGGAGACGTCCGTTTATTGGTCGGCGATTGTATGAATTCGCCCGTAAAGATCGTCCCCCGAAAACGTTTACAATTAAAACTATACTATATATATTACAAAAAAAAAAAAAAAACAATTTGTAACCAGAACTTTGTTCCAACGAAACTGAAAATAATACTGTGTACAACATTTATCGCAAACTCTCGAAAATAGTCGCGTCGCGCATAATAACGAAAACTACGTAACAAATGATCTCAACAGTCGATCCAAAACAAACAAAAATCATCCGCGTCAGTCGCCACTGTTACCGATCTTCGAACGTTCGAGGCCTCGTTGCAGTTCGCGAAAAAAAATTTCGATATACGGCCGTGGTTCTTTAATTTCCTGTTACAACCGTGCAGACGATTTATCGTCTAAAAAACAGTTCGAAAATGCAGAGCAACTCGTTCATGCCTCTTTCCCTGAGATAATCGATTTTGAGTATACGCGGTACTCGCGAAATAGAAATACTGATAGCCTGTCGCGATTAAACTTTCGGTTTATTTTCAACGTCGATTATCTGCAAAACGGAGCCGCGCGTAAATTCTTTTATTCCACGTTTTCGCTTTATTTTTTGACATAGAATCGTCCCCTCGTTCGGTTGTACCGATAATTAGCGAACACCCCGTAATTACCATGGACAGTAGGCAGGAGATCGCTCTTAAACGATCGATCGACGACGATGATCGAGCGCGGTGTCTCTGATCTTCTCGCGATCGCGGATTTAAGAGAGAGAGAATTAAGCGTTACGAGGTCAGCCGTGGCTGGACCACGTTTCCGTGACCGGTTCCTCAGGTCACAAGCCTAATACCGTGTGAGGATGAGCATGCTGATGGGCATGCAGATGCAAAGAACTCGGACCGTGGCTCAAAGACAACGTGTGAGCCGAATGACCGAGACCAAGGGGCGGCGAACCGCCATTGTGCATCAAACCACCCAACATTCCCATCTCCTCGATCGTCAGATTGGCCATCGCGCGAGTCGGAACGTTCTCCAGCGTCTTCGTGTCCTTTTTGTCCAGCTCCTCGCGTTTCTTCATCTGTTTCCGTTCCTTCGCCCGTCGGTTTTGGAACCAGATTTTCACCTGCAACACGCGCAACAAAAAATTCGGCTCCGTTAAGCACTCAGCCCCGGCGATGCAGCGATTTTCGAACGAACAGTTTGCCAACAAAATGGCGAACGTTCGAAGTGACGTTAAAGATGTTACATTTTTTTTAATAAATCACTTTTACATCTTCTTTAAAAAAATATTAACGAAACGTTGACTTTGACACTGCACTTTAAGGACCTATTTTAAACGATTAGCGTATTTTTTTTTTTAGACCTACCTGTCGTTCAGAGAGCGCAAGAGCGGCGGCAAGTTCAGCCTTACGACGCATCGTGATATAACGGCTGTAATGGAACTCTTTTTCGAGCTCCAACCTCTGTTGATCTGTGTAGACCACTCTGTATTTGTCTTTTGTTCGAGTCTTTCCTGAGAAAAAAAGAAGACAAAGATAACGCTCGACATTATTACACGTTTAATATCTACTTCTCTAATTCTCTTGTCAATAACGCGTTAAAGAGATAACGCTTTTGACGATCGCACTCGTAGGCACATCTCGCGATGGCATTAATAAAGTAACTAAGCGAGATTTAAAAAACATTACACAGCACGACACAGAACAAGCATCGGAGTCGAACAACAAATAAACGATGCGATGAAAAATAAGACGAAAATTCGACGATCCTAAACACCAGAACTACCAGCCTCGGATTTACAGGGTGAGAAAGCATTTGCTGTATGAAATAATGTTCCTAATAAAAGTTACGTACGGTACATTAATCAATTTTCTACCAACGTGATCGTCAACATGATTTGTAAATCAACTTTGTTTACAAAGGATGGTTACGTTAGTAAACACAACCCTTGTTAGTGTAAAACTAGTCTAATTCCATTAGTTGTTCCATCTTACTAAAAGTAATCATAAATTCCTAGATTTATACCAGCACGGTATCGATAATTTTAAATAAAAATACTCGAGATCCGTAATTTCAATGGGCTTGGTAGTTTTAGTGTTGTGTAAAAGCACACATAGAGAAAGAGAAATGTTCCAGCCATAATAAACGATCTACTAAGTAATTAATACGATCGGACTTCGGTTTTATGTTTATCGTGGCACGATCGTTCGTATTTTACCGCGGGTTCTGTAATAGATAAGAGATAGCTGTAATAACGTCTAGCATAAGCAATCTCGTGCATCAATTAGAAATTACCTGTCGACGAGCAAAATGGACAACGTAATTTGTAGGGGCAAACATGTGTTTAATCAGAGACACAAATACAGGAAATTATAATCGTTTGTTCTGAACTACTCCGAAGGATTTGTATAAACACAGCTGAGAAAATAGATCTGCTGTTTCATTTTGGCAAACAACGTACAACAAAGCTAATTCATAGTGACTCGATTAACAGAATCTGTAACCTAGCAAATAGACTCAGTTTCTCAGATCATGCATAGCTACTTATATTTTTATAAAGTCAAACGATCAAATAATTATATTTGGAAAATAACTTTTAAAAGCTGTCTTTTGACACCTTTGATAGGGTAACTATGCCTTAACTTAACAAAGAGAAATTCGTTCGCTCGGAGTACGTTTGTCTTATCGATTATTTATTGTTCGAATAAAATTTCGCCCAAGTCGGCAACAAAGGAACTGGAGAAAATGGCAAAAGGAACCGACAAGCGTATCGGCGATGGTGTGAATTCAACGTGGCATTCGGAACGATTACACGCGTACGAAATACAAAATGAGAGGGAACGGGACGGAACGAAACCGTGAGACGCGGAGGGGAACGGGGGGAACGGAACGGGAGAAAGGAAAACGATTAGATAAGGCTGGCCGGCGAGATCAAAGGCGTGCACGTTAATCCACCACTCCTCGATAAGAGTGCTCGAGGCCTTCGAGACATCACGAATAAGCTTCGACCTTAGACTTTTCGATGGTATATACGGCCAGATCCAGCATGGCTGGTAACGAAATCTCGAAGATTACCCACGCGTCGCACGAAAGAGGAAACCAATTTCGAACAAAAAGAAATAATAATAAACAAAAAAACACCGTGCGTTAACCGTTCCATAAAACGAACCAAACGATATTAGACCATACGCGTAAATTGAGCCACAACTATCCGTCGTATAAATACGCGCGTTGTGTGTTCACGGGATTTGGAAATACACGTATCATGTCTGTACAAATATTAGAACAATATATTATGTTCCGTCGAATTTCGAGTTTTCGTTCGCTCAGATTGCAGCCGATCCTTATCGGCTGAGCACTTCTGGCTTTTCGCACCTGGGAATCAAGCGTTCGTTGTTGCGAATATAAGGTACCGTTCTATGAAACCGGGCACATTGCAGTTAGATATGAAAATCAGTTACATCGCTCATGTATTCTGCAGAGAAATTAGACCTGCATACGTTCCTCGATGAAATTAAAAACTTAATGTAAATTAACTAATCGATCTCGAAACGCCATGATCTATAGCCGCTCATTTGTTCGATAGATGTACAATGTTAACAGCCTTACGAGCGCTGCTGTTCGTTGCATTATTATCGTGGAACAGTGCATGTAAACAAACTCACGTGTTCTCGCTCATGTATGTTCGCCTCGAATATAAGAAACATTATTTTTAAAAGAGTTTATAAACAAAAATAACGACCGACGATAAAACTGCTAGCGAAGTAACGAAAGTTGCTCGACTGCGTATATCTCTGTAATTTATCGACGAGCAAAAATTATTACGCTGGAATAAATTTTAATTCGCGATCGTAGAAGTCGACGATACTGGTTCCGTGAGGCGATAAAAGTCAACGATCGTAAATAAAAGAAAGAGTCAGCCGCGATCGCGTATAGTTCGTTTCCGACGTGCCGCGCATTGTTCGCGCCCGCAAATATTTGCCATGCTAAGCATAATCGCCGCTCAAACCCAATGCACGTAAACAAACATAAAACATCATTAAATCTTATCGACAGGCATTTTATCTTTCGAGATTGTCATCGAGTCAAAAAAATTCCAAACCCTATGGCGGCGTAATTTTAATTGCGACAGATCTTCCTACGCACACAGAACGTTTTAATCCCGATGATTAATTTCGCGACGCGTCGCGACGCTTCGTGATTCGACGAAACCGATTCGCGGACCGATATCGTTCGAACCAGCCTTTTTTTTTCGACGCTTTCGAAAGACGACGGGGACAAAAAGTTTCGGCCCCGTTGTACCGTCGAATCGAACTCGCCGAACAGTGTTCCCGGTGTAATTCGACGTGTGTCTCGTCTGTTCGATTTTTAGCCGCGCCAGTTGTAACCACTCCAACTTCTCGATCCAAAGAAGTCTATCCCGGAATCCCCGAGGAAGGCGTTGTTTGAAGGGGGAGAATGGTCGGTTTCACGATCAACGAACCGTGTCGCTGTATGAGTCGGCAAGGATTACCGTCGGCCTTTTTCATCTCTCCGATACCGGAACTCGCACCTACGATTATCCCGCCAGGCACCTTGTCAACACTCGATCTGCTATAATACTCTGAATAACGTAATTGTTACACCAGGTCAGTCAACATGTCAGCCCAGTGGTTCTTAACCTTTTCAACGCTATTCTAACACCATTTTTACCTAAAACTTTATAAAACTACTTTGTTTTTGAATAGCAGAAACAGCGTTAATGAAATGTATTTTACTTGAAAGCTAACTTTAAGTTCTGAACTCTCTCTCGTGACCAACCATTCTTCCCTAAACAAAATTATTATTGTTTAAATTAAACGAATTTAAAAAATTCGGAGGTTCTCCAAGGGACTTAGATCTCTGTATTAACTAAATATTTCTTGTTTGAAATCATCGGGTAGTTTAGCTTGAAATATAAACGCATTATCGTGTTGTAATATGCGTTTTAAACGTTGTTCGCACTATCAGACGTTCTCCAAACTTAATGTGTATAATCCCGACACTCGTACGCTACCGGTGTAATAAAATTATTTCGATAATTGTAATATAACTTTATTATTTTAAGCATTATACCTTCGGTTTGATAGCGTTCGAATGCTTTTATAAGCCCGTGTATCTATTAATGCGTTAATGAAAAGCTCGTTTTGCGCTGATTACGAAAATCTGGTATTTATTTATATTTCGTGTTTATCTAGCTGCTACCTTAAATCGATTCACTTTCGAGCAGTACTTTTCCATGGTTATTGAAACGAATGATTGAAAGTTTAAAGCAAGAGAAGTCGCACAGCAAGTGGAAAAATTCGGACGCAGCGAAGTGTCGTAAAATATTTGTACAAAGATTACAAGGAACTTATTCGGAACGTTCTAGTTTCTACGATACGCGAAAGCCGTCTACATCGCGAGATCCCGTCGCCAGAGTTTACTTCGTCGCGCAAACACGACAGTCCTATTTGTTACTTTTCGAACGTTTACAAGATTTTTATTTCCAGGTTCTTGTTTTAAATATGTATTTCGATAAAAGAGCAGAAACTTTTGTAGGGGACATTGTTTAAGAATCGTTGCGACTTCATATCGGTTTCGATGCAACATGAAATTAACAAGGGGGGCGGGAGGGGGGTTGACTGTACACGATTTTTCGTCTTTAATCAACTGAAACGGGTCGTTCTCCGTTCCGCGACACAATTTCGTCGTTTCGCTCGGCTATTTCTCTCGGGTACGTATCTGCATGTTCGGGGGAGCATGAGACGACGAATATTTTGCGTACGAGCGGTACGGGAAGAGAGACAAGAACCGGAGCAAACCAAGGGAGCAAAGAAACAGGACTCCTGGGACTCGTTGCCACCCCATTACAGCATTTGCTCTTCCATTTCGCGCGGTGAAATGGTGAAATGGTGAAAGCGCGTGCCCCGCTTTTGCCGTCGGTGTGCGACGCCCTCGAACTCCTCCACCAACCCCTAAACCGACAACCCCACACAGATTTCGCCCGCTCTAACCGACGCTTCTGAGCCCGCACGGGTACCATTCGTCAGTAGCATCACAATTACCTCTATTGTGCCGTGCAACATTTGTATATTGCATATCAAGTATCCACCGTACGTCTCGCGAGAAGAAATCTCGTTTGGCTGCGACTGGACGTGTAATAAAAATTGCGGAAATAATACGTGAAACTGCATTTAATTTATCAGCTATTCCTGGGGCAATTAGTACGTAAGTTCCGGAGTATGATTGCACTCCTTCGACAATATCGACCGTGTGCTGGTACACGTGCGAAATAGAGATTTGAGCAAACGACCAACACACAACGAATCGCAAAAAATCGTTCGTTATCGTGACGTGTTGCAAGTTCTACACGAGAATGCACTATTTATCTCGGTCACCAACACTAACCAGATTCAGATATCAGCGCGATTACAGTTTGTGGAAGTTGCATTGGAACTAATCTAAAACAAGTTTGAACAGGTAGAAAATGAAGAGCATAATTGGACCGATACGGATTCCAAGAAGAAAGAATGGACGAACACGTATGCAAAACAGGTCGGGATTCAGTTTTATTGGACGGTTTAGAAAGAACGGTTAGTCTTGCGACGATTGACCCGGCTAGAAACAACGTTTACCCCTCGAATCGAGAGGGGTGCTCTGTCTTGTCTGCGTTCGCTTTCGTAGGTATTCAGAAAAGTCCCCGAATCCTCCTTTCGCCTTATTATTATATTACCTTGCGACAACCACTTATATTGTGGGTCTCTCGAGTTGCGGGCAAAACCGATCGAACAATGCAAAAGGGTCTTGGGACAGCGCGTACCGCATCAGAATCGAAACGATCGTAACCGATTTGCTGGAAACGGAGGCGTTTTTCCAGAAATAATCCAAGCACACGAACGTTCCCCGGAAGAATTGGCCGCGTCGAGGCACCCTGGCCAGGCAACTGAGTTCAATTGTCTTTTATTGTTGGCAAAACAAACTGTAAGAGGTTTTACGATGTAATTGTAGTACCGAATGAATGAACCCGATTCCTTCCTGTTGACGTTACACTTTGCCCTGCAAGAACTATCTCGGTTAACGATTGTTTGCGAATATGGGACATTCCTAATGACCTGATTGCCGAATAAAATAAACAACGTGTCTGAACCGGTTCGCAAATTCGTACAAACGGCGACGAAACGTTAGGTTATTCTTTGCAAAATAATTTTCGAAATAAATTCGTTCGAATCAAAGAAATGGAAGATCGCAGAGAGATCGTTTTCGTCTCGATCGCGATCCGCCTTCCCGCGCGGAGTAAAAGCAACCAAAATGGCGGCGGCAATAAAATCTGGAGGAATCGCGTGCCGCCATTGCGAGAAGCGAAGCAAACGCGGTCTTTCGAGGGAACACCAACAAATAATGAGGAGAAAAAAAAAGCCGCACGTCTGCACGCCGACAGGAATACGCGAATAACGTGGCTTTCGGCACGAAAATGTAATACCTAGACTGAATCATGCGAGGTCGTCGTTGTACGAACAGCGGCTGCCTGCAATATAACCATAAAATGCAGATAATAGCCGGTAGAAGGTATCGGAGGGTCGCACGGTCGCGAAACGGTATAAGAAAGAGCAATACGGCGTGTAACTGAGCAGCAGGAAGGAAAAGGGTGAGAGAAGTTTAAATACTTGCCGCGCAAATACCTGAGGAATCGTTTCATTGCCATGTTATCGCGAACGTTTGCTTCTAATTAGATAGAAACGAGATTCGAATTAAAAGGTGTTCAAGCTGTCGCCGAGGAATAAACACGAACATGTAATTGACTAAAAGAAAATTAAAATTTTTTAGCGATGCATCGAACAGCATTTAATCATGCAGAAACAATATCGTCGATGTTCTAATTAAACAATTGAAATTCTATGGAAACGACATGCCCAGCTTCGTATGCTCGGTTATCAATCAAATATTTGCATGCTTCAACGATAATAGACGAACAATTGTCGCATGCAGACCACTGTACAATCCAAGATATCACATACACTCATCACGAATATTAATATAACGTAGGAATGACAGTAATCGAGCGATAGTAATTGTTATCGTACCAAGGGCGTCGAGGGTGCAGAGCTCGTGAATCGTTGAACCTGCACTTGCGTTGAAGTTTGCAGTTATGTTGCACGCTGCAACAGTAGAAAGAATACGAGTGCTTAATCAGACTATTTTCGTGTTTACTTTCATATATCATATTTTCGAAACGAAGCTCAGATTTTAATTTTCTTGAAAACGAAGGCTCAAACGAATATCTATTTTCAATTCTTGGTCTATCTTTTCGCGAGGAAAATTACTTAGACTGGAGTTACAAATAGTGATCCTCCATTTTGTAATCTTTTACGTTCGAATAACAGTCTCGTCGTTATGTTTTCGTCACTTTTTTATTTCCGATAGGGAAATCACGTCGCAGTTTTCAAAGCCCTATAAATCTTTCGTAATGTTCGAATAATAATACGAAACTCAAACGATAAACTGTACACGAGGAATTAGCACATTTCGGGAACGTTTACCCAAATAATTAAAATCCAAGTTAAGGAACGTGCTTAAACTCCGTAAATCCACATTTTCCAATTTATACGACGGAGATAACCATAATCGGAAACGTTGTTTCGCTTGTTATTCGATAGTCTTGGAAATTTAAGCGCACAGCCTACACGGCACAATTTGGAACGGTTGAAAATTCGAGACGACACCGAGAGGACGCAGAGATTATCTCACAAATATTTGAGAGCAATTAGATGTTTGCTCGTCTGTTACCGTGTTTACATTGTTCACCGTATCTAGACCGCAGAGACGTGTTTATAGTCGGAGCACGATGTAGCGCCGAAACCTCCACACGGTTGTTCCTTAAAAACGCTTTTTGTCTACGATATTTTTCGACGAATTAAGCCACGGTCTAACCATCTACATTATTTTACGCGAATTAGCTGCTTATTACGTTTGAATATTTTCGGTACTCCGAATCCAGGATTATCGATGTCTCCGAATTCGCTACGAATCGAACTAAAATTATCTTTCTTCCTCAAAAACTATATTAATGCACGAACAACTTTAATTGATCATGAAACTGGATATTAAATGCACCTAGTTTCGCTAAAATTCGGTTCAACTCGAGTACAAATGAATCTTGTTCCATAATTTTTATTTACTACACGATATGTCTGTTCTAACCGTAATTGCAGCACACCCTGTATAATGTATACTCGAGATAGTTTGGTCAGAAGGGTACAGACATACTCTTCGAGTTGTAAACAGAGCATGTTGGTATACACTAAATCAAACGTCCTAATATCTCGCGATTCTCGCACGAGTTTCGAAATCTAATTCCTCGCGATTCAAAATTCGCAGACTATAATTTTCCAGAAATATTTCAATCGTTTCTTTGTTACGACGGTCGTGAATTAGAGCACGTTCGTTATTTGTCGGTTAATGAATGGTTGGATCGCGATCGAATGTTCATCGAAACGAAAAACCTTATCAGTATTAAGAAGAAACGTTTTAATTCGCCCCATCCATCACACATCGTCAACCAATTTAATACAGGGTAATTAGAATTTTGTGTCCGACTGGCTGAGCCGCGAACACAAACCGAATTAAACATCGAATTTATCGCGTTTCTACGTACGCAATCGTTCCCGACATTGTTTCGGCTATTATTATTGGATTTCTGTTTTAGATGTAAATCTATCGATAAATGGTATTAAGATTTTAACCAATAACTTTATAGGATCGTTTTGTCAGCGTTTCCTCGTACACGCAGTGGACGAAATTTTTAGGAGAATATCATACTTCGCTACCAAAAGATAATTTATTACACATTACCTCGGATGATCGAAACTTTACTGTATTTTATTTGTAACAGAAGTAAAACTTTTCTGTTTTTTTTCTCCATTTTGCAAGAAAACTAGCGTGAAAGTGATAATTTTTCTATATTGTCTGATATATTCCAGATTCTCGATCAACAAGATACTTTCGAGATCTCGTCTCGATAGTTTCGAGACCTCGAACACCCCTAGTTAACAATCAACGTCATGAAAACTCTACATAGCAAATTGAAATAGAAAAATACCTTTTATTTTAACCCACGCATATTTTAATGTACTGTACCTCGAGTTAAATAAATTGAGACTTATATTGTTCAAACCAGAGCTATTATTAAATTGTATCCTCTACTACTTTCCATCTCAGACCACACAAATAAACAGAAAAACAGTTTAATCATAAGGAATACAAACTACTGTTTACAATTCCTTAATCAGTCGGACAATCGACGTTCCGAAGTATTCAAATAGACATTCCAATCTCCCCTTTGGACCAAACTACCAAATTCTTTCGTATCGAAATTTAGCAATAACCATAATGAACCAATCGCACAAACCTGGATTCGGTTGACTCTGATACGACGTCTTCTTCATCCACTCGTAGGGGCTCCTCATCTGCGTGGGTCTCATAGGGGTCGTGGTGTTATTGTTGTTGGCGGTAATAGTATTGTTGTTGTTGGAGGGTGGAGTGGAGGGTGTTCCGGGGTTGCTGATCTCGCTTCCGCTGACGGTGATCGGCGGACTGGGCTCTCCGGCGCCGACCGCGGGATTGGCTTCGTCTCCGCTCCAATCCGTCACACCGGTCAGCTGCTGTTGTTGCTGTTGCTGGTAGGCCTGGTGGTGCTGATAGTGGAGGTGCGAGTAGTGGTGAGCGTGCGGATGGGTCCAGCCAGACAGGACATCCGCGTGATCCAAATACTGTTGGGGTCCACCTGATTGATGATGGTGGGCCCCGTGCGTGTATCCGTGCGGGCAACCGTACCAGTATTGCTGGCCACCCTCCGTGGCCGCGTGTTGCTGTGCCTGTTGCGCCTGGGCGTGTTGCTGCACCTGCTGCGCGAGCTGCTGCTGACCGGTGGTCGGTTGCTGTTGCTGCCGGTACATCGCGAGCGGATTGTAGTAAGAAACCATACCGATACTGCTGATGTCCGTCATGTGGCCGAGCGATACCGTGCACCCGTCACGGCTGCACGTCACTGTCGACGACTGATGCGCAATACAAAGAGGGTGGACGTCGTTGAACGGGCGTAACGCCGAAGTTCTCGACCACCAGCATGCATAGACACTCGTAGAAAACTGTTTCGCCTTAACGGAGCAACGCGCGGATCATGACGGAAGTGTCTGCGATCGGATAGTCTTCCCACTGTCACCGGGCACCAAACGAAGAACGATTCCGAATTCACGGAACACTGACGGGAATCAACGCGCGACGAATACGATTCTCGGTCCCTTTCAACCCGTTCACGGAAAGATACTGACGGATCGACGATAACAGCCGGACGACGTGACTCGGATATTCGCGATGTTATGCTGACGACTGCTCGCTCGTCTATGATTACGAAGGGTGCGTCCGCTCGTCGACGTTGCGTCCGCTCGTCGACGTTGCGTCCGCCTACGACCCGGCCATTCCCCCACCCTTGGTCGAGCTCCGCCAATCGACGCTCGTCTCGTCGGTTGGCGGCTGTAATGGCGCCCGACGAGCGTCCCGACCGCCAGAGATATCGTTCCCCGATAAAAAGAACACGAAAAGGCGTCTCTCACGCCCCCGTAGACGCGATTCCCGTGTAAAAGGTCGCGAAATAGACAACATTTTTCGCACTTGTCGCGTTTTACTCCTGTTATGAAAATATAACTTCCTTTCCGCGTGTTCTTCAGTCCACGTCGGTACTGACGTTCGAATGACTTAAAGAAGGGGTATCGTGACGATAGTATGCACGCAAGAAACTCGACTGTATTTAATTACTGTTCCGATTTGAAAATTTTATTTTCCGTCGCTCGATGTTGTAATGCAATTTTTTAATCAAGAAATGCGTCGAAGCTAGATATAATTTCAATGGCCGTGGATGGAAAATTTACGCCATTCTTAGAACCGATGCGTTTAATCGTTAATTTTGTTCGAAAGATGCATATTAAATCTTTGATTTATGTTCCCAAATACTCTGCAATGTAATCCCCTAATTACTTTGAACCTATTTAGATATTTGATCAAAATAAATAAATTGGAAGCAATTGAACTACTGTTGACAATCATAATATTGTTAATAACTACAGTAATAGATCATTACTATATCACGCTTGTAAATGTTAAGAAATTAGTTTGAGCAAATAGAGGAAAAAACAATAAAGAGTATGTTATAATGTGCATCGCGTTCATTGCACTCGTACAACAGACTTGCGCGATATTTAACTGGCTCTTCGTGACAATATCATAATTAACAATGTATAACAATTATAAACTGCGCCATCAGCAGTTCATAAATCATCCTCGCCACGGAAATGATTTAAAGCCAAAAACTCGAGCCTGCCTCCTATATGATTAAGATCGATCGTCGTCATTTATTGCGTTTACATAAGTGTAAATGAGAATTAAACATTTACACGCAGTGATTAAACCTAACCGCGGACAACACTCCGAACTATTTTAGTACTAAGCAATAATTAAGATACTCTCCTTATCAACTCTTCTTTCGAATGTCTTGAAACGCATGTTCGTCACGCTTCCCGCGCGTGCGTTTTTCGTTAAAAAGTTTCGAAATTTCTAACTAAAACTATTCAGAGAATAATTCCTACGTTCTAGCTTTAATAGATTAAAACTTTTTTAACGAATTACATTATGTTTTTAAAATAGCGACACAACATTTACGAGTAATTTAAGAATAAAAGTTGTAATAATCGTCGATCCGCGAACTTCTCACTTTCAAGATAGAAGCGACTTAAGTTTCAGTACGAACGTAGCTTATCGTAATTGCACAAGTAATCATACGAGGTGTTCAAAATGGCCTCCACACGAGCATTCGTACATCGTATCGACGATTGTTCAACGAGTTTAATTCCTAATAAATATTCCTCGTGTTTTTGATTGCCTTACATACATATTAAATAAGTATTTGTAACGCTTTTCGGTGGTCTAACATACGATGGGATTAAAACGACGAATGTATAGATTCGAAACGACTCCAGGAAACAAATAATCCAAGGTATTTAAATCGGATGATCGAAGCAGCCATGCAATTGGTCCACTCACGACCTACCTCGACGTTTCTTATCTGATATACTTAAGACGTACTTTTCTGCGTCAACATATGGGCACGGTGAAATTTAAATCTACTAGATATATCGTGAATAGAAGTTTGGGAACCTATGCTGGTTAGAACCTTTTCTTAGGTTCAAGGTATTGAATTAACTTATGAATTGTGTCGCTTTATACATCCTGTATAAGTTCGTATCATCGATAACATCGTTGATTATCAACAATTAATCAGAAAACGTCGTTTCTCGAATGGACACACCCCAGAATGATTTAACAGTTTGAAACGTAGCAACCAAGACCGTAAGGCTAAGGGCACACGAGCTTTAAAATGACGTTGCGACGGAGGACCCTTCGAATGGGTATGGTAATCGATAATCGCAAATCAATTGCTTTCGCGTAATTCGTCAAGTGTCAATAAGTTGCTAGGAAATCACGTCGACGGTGACCCCGTCGCAAGGTCGATTATATGGGTAGAAGGCAAGGATAATCTCTCGACATAATGGCAGCTGCCTGGGGCCCACCGACGGCGACGTGTGTCACAATATTGACTCGTTTGCAGCCACACTCGTGGTCCCTTTCGTTCGCCGCTTGGAAACGCTCCGCCTACGGATAGGACGGTCGTATTATCTATCTTTCTCGCTCTTTCTAGGTTCATTCTCTACCATGGACTTTCCCGTCTCGTCTTCTTTCCCAAGTTGTTCGCCCTGAACCCCATTTTTAATCCCGATGTTCCGTTCCAGCGCGCCAAAATCAACGATGGGGCAATACTTTTCGTAATGAAATTATTCGCCGATACATTACACCAAGACCTCGTATTTCGACGTAAACAAATGAACGTAAACATTACGAATGCTTCATTAATAGCACAAAATAAAAGAAAAGTTTATAGAAAACCAAACTGAAAACACGCGTGTTAAAAAGGTGCGTGTAAAAGAAATTTTACAGATTTTGAAAAAGAAAGAAGTCTCGTTATTCCTTTACGGTCAAAGAAACGTCTAGCAATAATTCATTCTTCCATTCACGTTGTGATTTAGGTACGTAACACCGTGCACTACCGTTTGCGTTGAAAGACGAATGGCGTAAGTACGCAACAAAAGCCGTTTGTCGTTTCTATCGATGGTCAATGAATTGCGCAATTTGTCAAAGGTGTCCTCGTGACGCTTCTTGCAAGAAGCCCTTCAGTTTCCTTAAACACCGCTGATCGGTACTTTGGGTCCACAGCGGCTGCGGTAGCCGTAATTACTCGGTTGGTTTACGACTTTCGAGATGCGAAAACGCCATGGTGTTACGACCATGACAAACTGCCGAGAAGAAGATGCCTTAATACACGGGCAAACCGCGTCTTTTCTTTACTCTAACAATTCGTGAACAATTCTAACACGCTAATCAACAGCAAATATGCATTTAAGCAGCCAATTCCCCATTATGGCTCCAATTATCAAAATAAAAGTTAAACGAAAATATTGGCTCTAGTTTTGTCGAAACAGAAACTAAAAGTGGACGTTTTATAATACCTAACCAGCGCGATTAAATTTTAATCCTACCCCTAAAAAACTTAATCTCGGAGCCGTTAATATCGTCGACTTAATACCATTGACTTTTTAAATTTTTACAGTAATCGAATAAAAGTAAACACGTTACGTGTTTCCCCATGGAAGAAAAAAGAGGAACCTCCGTTCTCAAAAATGGGACATTCGGGCTCTAAGAATATTAGCGACAGCTTGGAAATGGGGGACTGGGGGTGGCCCTAAAACGTTACCGTTTTAATTAAAAACGGGACGGAAATGGGGCTGTTATTCAGGACAGTTTGACCATTTTCCCTCTTTGTCTTCTATTGTCTGCCAGCAAGGCTGAAGCACGATGATTGCTCCACATTGTAGTTACCTCTTTAAAAATTTCAGACCTAACTGTAGTCAGATTGCCCGCAATAGAACGCTCATAAAGACCTGTAAGAAAGTTGCCCAGCACCTCTTCCAAACGTTCTGTAATACCCATCATGGTTCACTTTCGTCGTTGGACCCCAACCCCCATCCCCCATATTTCCCTTCCACGACTTTTCACCATTCGACTATTCCTTTTGTTCCCTATTTTTCCCTTCGACGATGTTCATTTTTACACGCTGAAAAATGTATTTTTTCTTTGATAACTTTGGTATAGGCAAATTTAGAGAGCAATAACGCAGTGTCTTAGTTAATTACATCGATTTGAATAGACTGAGCGTTGGTTCGAACAGTTTAGGTTAACGAGTTTTCGCATTTTTCCTAGATTTCGATCGAAGTTTTCCCCCCGTCCTTTAAAACTCGGGATCTCGGGGAGGTTGTTCGAGGATACGGCCATAATAGCCGGGTAACAACGATATAATACAATGTCCGCTACGTCGGGAGAACAGAAAACTCCTCCAACTTAATCCTCAGTCCCGTTCCAACTTTTCGGAATTTTTTTTTATACCGTCATGGGCCCCAGCACACTCTTTTTCTTTACCAACGCCGAACCACGGTTTCGACTCTACGCCCGAGGCTCCGCCAAACGATAAAACCCATTTTACTATTCCGTTATCGATACTACGAGCGCAATCGTTTTACTGTTAAAAGTGTTTCTCTGCTTACGATTCGAATCCCGATTCCCGAATGTAGATCAAAATCGCGAGGAAGATTTACGATAACACCGAAAATCGTATACTAATAACAATACTAATAAAAAAAAAACTGTGAAAGGTATACACGGTGAATAAAATGCAGAACAATTTCCTATTGAAGACGTCGTTTGCCCGAAAAAGTTTCGCGAACCGTAATGGAACAAAGGCGTCGAATAATGGCGGCCCGTTTTACGATAGAGAAACAACTCAGGTAAACTGGTGGTGCAGCAACGAGACTGAAACGCAGGCAACAATGAGAATTGGTTTAAC